CTATAAAAGGCTCATGCCAACAACTTCTGACAATTGCCAGTTCTGCTGATAACCCAATACTATTATGGACTATTTGGTCCATATTGGGTTATTTTGCTGGATTCAAGTACCTACACCCTTTAGACTGGGTTCCCATATGAAAAGGTCCTTTAAAGACTTCTCCAAATACAATTTCTCTAACTGCAGTGGAACACCCATCCCTGAAAAAACAAAACGGAAAAGGGGGATATGTTGGGAGCCAGGAAGCTAGGAAATCAATCAAACATATGTCGGTGAGACTTGACCCAGTGCCTAAAGCAAACAAGCTACCTCACTCCTGAGATAAACATCCTATCTGGTTAAGGTTTGCTATCAGTTGCTAAGCAACCTAGTGTCATGCATTACTAACTTTACAGAAGTATAAATGAAAGACAGTTTTGTTGTGAAAAAAGGGGAGATGGAAAATTACACACACACACACACACACACACACACACACAAAAGAGAGAGAGAGAGAGTTAGGATAGATATACAGCTACTTTCTCTTAGTTCACTGAGAATAAAGGTTTGTACTAATATTGTTTAAATAAGATATCATGTCTGCATCTTGTCCTCTGAATATCTACTATGAAGACGATAATATGCAATGTATTAATTATTGTTAAACATCCTACTAATTTGTTTTGAAACTATTTCATCCCTATTTTATCTTTTTTCTCATTAAAATGAATAAAAATTATAAAAATAAAAAAGAAAAGGACACTGCTTTTATGTAACTGCATCAATTATAATCCTTTAACATATGTAACATTTCATATCCTTAAAGTGCTCTAAAAGAATTTTATTTTTTGACAAGTTTTTTAAAGGCACAGTTTTTAGTGACAGATAGTATCAAAGGTATTGTGTGCATATTTGAATAACAATCTGTTCACCTTCTTCAAGAAATGAGATTTTTGTATGAGTTAATATGTAGCATTGGATGCCAAAATGAGGGGTCACTGTGCATGGTCAGTCAGAATTCAAGATTAGATTTGCCATAAACTTGCTGGAGAGCTGTGGAGGGAGGAGTGTCGGGTCCTCTGTGCTTCTGAAGGTGAATTTCCCACAGTGTGGCAGCTTGGGGTCAGTGGGCAGGGCAGCCTCTCAGGCTGACAGAGCCCTGGACTTCCATGGCTTCAGAAATAGGGTTGTGATTGACTTGAACATTCTTTAGACAGCCAAAAAATGACCTCCACACTGGGAGGTTCAATGTCTTCAAATTGTCTGAAAAAGAAAAGCAAGAGGCATTTGAGGAATATGTCCTACTGTCAAACAAACACACCCTGAGTTTTACAGAGTCCTAAGAAAGAGCCAAGCAGACCCCATGGCTCATCCCACCCGGTAATTTCTTCCTCTTCAAGCAGGTGGCTGACACTGACTGCTGTGATAAATCAGCCACAGAGCAAGTCCTAAGCTCTTCAGGGAAGGAGCCTCTACAGTCCAAATCAATAGACAGTAACTCTGAACCCTGCTGCTTTTTATGGGTCATGAAAAGCCTATAAAATTAACAGCCAGATAGACTATTTGGAAGGACATAAAGCAATGAAGAATGAAAAGGCTCCTTCCAGCAAAATTCCAGTCTTGAACTTGCCTCCACCTCAACCTGCCCAGCTCTCCCATTCTGGTCCCAAGCAGCTGAACAACTCAGCAGCAAGAATAGATGCCTGGGGAGGACAGATCAGATTTTCTGCCTGATTCTTTGCTGGCGTCAGGTTTCTGGGTTCATGCAACTTCTGAAGAGGCGCATAAATAAGTGGTAGGCTTGAGGCAAGGGTGGCGGCAGTACTGTGGCCTGGACTAGCCACTGGGTCTCCCTAAGTGTTGGACAGGACCTGCCCAGCTCCACCGCCAGCCAAGGGCCACCTGCTAGTGACCCGCATGGTGGCCATCACCTTTGCTGGGCCATGAGGCAAATGTTAAGAGCTGACATCAGGCAACACAACTGTAGAAGAAGTGGGTATGAGCGTCACCTGGGACACCGCCGATGTACAGCAACCCCTGGGTGCCTTGGGGAGAGAAAGTGAGCTGCCCGGCCATGTAGCTGCTGTCCTTGTCCAGTTCCAGGTACAGGCTCTGTTGTTTGATGGTGACTGGAAGAAAGGAAGCTGGTTAAATCTGTCACCCAAGGAGGGTCCTTCCTGTATTTCCTGAACACTGGAAGCCACAATTGGTCTGATTTTTAGCTCACTCCCAGGGGACTGGAGGCACACTGCCTGCAGGCTCTTGGTCAACCTCGGTGTAAATTCACCTAACCTTTAGTGCCAGGCGGCATGAAGTGCTTCTGCATATACCACCAAATCGACCCCTAAAATGAACCATCTCTGCAGCATCATTGTCCTCTCCATTTCCCAGATGAGAGGCTGAGATCCATGCAGCACCTGACCAGACACCTGGCTTACAGAGAGCTGGGACTCCAGCTCTGGTATGCCACCCCTGGAAGTAATATGTACCTCACAGAGCCTCAGCTACTTTCTAAGAAGGCACTGGCTTCTGCAAACGAATGTCCAAAGCAGCTGATGTGTTTTTGACCCATGGAAGCATGTTCTTCTCCTGTTACCAATCTTAGCTAATTACAATATATTTGGTTTTCAAACTAGCCAAGGAAAGATTGTTTTTTTACAAAAGGTATTTTATTTTATTTTTAAAATCATTCATTTATTTGGTATAGGGTCTCACTATGCAACTTGGACTCATAGTGATCCTCCTGTCTTAGCCTCCCTAGCACTGGAATTACAGGTGTGTGCCACCACATCTGGTTTCAGGGCTGGCATAGCATGCAGTACCAGAGATCGAACCTGGGTCCTTGCACTTGCCAGGCAGGCACTTAGACCACTGAGCTATCTCCCCAGCCCACAGAAAGTATTTTAGAAAATGCAGGTTCACAGGTCTCTAAACTAATACCCATGAGTTACTAATAAAACAACAGGCTCTACTTGAAAAGATGTGCTCCCTCTCCACCCCATGTTAGCTTGTCTAAAGAGTTTGCATTAGCCTTAACTGATTGTTGAAAATGTAATGCAACAACATGACTTGACAATACAGTGGCCAGGGTACTCACTCTACTATTGGGCTGGAGCTGTGCACGTTACGCACACTATCCAGCTTAATGTTCACCCCTGTGAGGCGTGTGCTACTTTCACCTCCAGGTTACAGATGAGGAGCCTGAGGGCAAAGAGCCTTTAAGTCACTTGCCCAAGTTCACACAGGGTAAAGGATGGCACTGAGATTTGACTCCTTTCTTTTTGACTTGAAACTGAAAACTTAAATTACACTGTCATATGACCTTGAAAACTAATACAATTTATCAATTTGCTGGGCTCAACACAGGTGCGCATGTACACACACACACACACACACACACAAATCCCCCAACTCTGGAAGTGATGGAGAACCGGAAGCAGCACCCATGACAGCACTGACAAGGCTGGGGTTGCCAATGGACGAGCGAAGCTGGGGACTGAGCCGGTCAGGCACTGGGAATGTTGGATGGAGGCCGCCTTTGAGAAATTCAAGTCCACATGAAAAGAAACAGCCTCCCTGTGTGCACACAGGGAACTGGATGTCCTACCTGCCACTGAGTGCCACTGCCCATCACACAGAGACTGCTTTGGTGTCACTGATGTCGACAGCGTGCCTGCCCCACTGTCCACAGAGGCTGTGACCTGGAACACATATGCACCTTGGGCTTCCTTCCGATGGTGGACAGAGACAACTTTCCTTCCCCTTCTCCCTTCCCAAGCATGGCCATGGAGACAGCCCACCAGCACTGTAAGGGTTCCCCAACTCCCGGTAAGCAAGCTTCGAACCCAGGCCCTGCCGGAAGTTGTTGGTAATGACAGTGGCAATGACCTGCTCCCTCCCAGCCAGACCCTATCCCAGTGGCCCTACTCCAGGGCTCTGATGTGCTCAACCGTCCTTCTTAGCAGTTCATATGTGATGGTGACTCTGTTGAGAAGGAGCTATAAAGTTTGGAAGACAAAAATGCTAAGAGCCAGCCAGTTATGACCCATGGGACACTGGACAAGCTGACAGAGTGTGTCTGAACACATGTGTTGGGGCCCTCTCTCTGATTAAGGGCTTCTCCGGGACCTTCCAAGGCTGAATCAAGGTGAATGATAGGACAGGGCTCAAGCGAGTGCCACTGGAAATGACTCACATTTAATTTGCCTGTCTCTAGATGGACCATCTATTTGCAGGCAATTTTTGCGCTAAACAAGGTCACTGTCAATGTCATCAGTTCTCCATTTTGTTTTCTTGAGAGGATTTCCTCTCCAGGAACACTCACTGGAGGCCCCTCCCTGCCCTCCTCTAAAATGTCAGTCTGGTCTCCACCTCCCACAAGGTGGGTAGTGTTACTTCTCTGGGTGACAGGAGAGCTGATCAGAAGTAACATCCACAGCTTCAGGAGAAAATGTGCGAGGGCCTGGGGTGTCGCTCAGTGCAGAGCACTGGCCTGGCATTCAGGAGGCCTGGCTTCAATCCTCCACATCAGGGGGAAAAGGTAGTCTAGGAGTTTGGACCATTGTATTTTCTCCTGGGGCTATTTTCCTTTACATTTAATAAATAGGGGAAAGATAAAGATGAAAGAAAATAGCACAGCATTAATTTTTGACTCAAGGCCTCCATTATGAGCAGCTTCCGGGATGAATTTGGTTTTAAAGAGACATCTTTGTCAGAAGGAAGATGAGGTAGCTGGGTCGTTGTAAATGAGGCCTCGACCCAGGTCTGTGAACAATGGGAAGGATGGGCTAGGAGAAGCACAGACTGAAGGAGGCGTCCAGGAGGAGCCAAAGGAAAGCCAGGGTGGGCCCAGTGACCAGAGATCTGGGCCTGCGTGGACAGGGTAGGAGGGTCCAGCCTGACACATGGACACAGGCCACACATGGGCCTGGGTATGGCATGGTGTGGAAGGTTGGGGAAAACCTGTGCCAACTGTTCTGGTACGGCCTTCCGAATAAAAGAGATATGAAGGGGGAGAAGGGAAGGAAGGAAAATGGGCATTTGTGAAGCAGCAGAAGTTCTCCAACCTGGACAAGAGCCCTAGGATAAGACTTACTACTCTTGCTTTATAGTACTAAAGCCCAGTGTCAAAGAGGTCAAGAGGCTTCCCAAGGATTCTGTAGCTAAGTGGTGAAGCTGCAATTCCCCCTTCCATATTTCACCAGTTTTAAAGATGAAGAACAAAAACCATGATGATAAGCTGATTTGCTAACATAAAACGGTAAGTCATCTCCCAGGCCAGCTTAAGTCGAAGGCTCTGCTTGTCTTCTCTCATCCCCCACCCAGTCCTCACTTGCTGTGGCTTCCAGCAACGGAGTGGGGTTTCCACCTCCTGCTCCCGGGTCACCCAATCACTGCGCACCTTGCCTGCCTCCATGTAGACACTTAGGCGCTGTCCCCGTTGACTTCCAATGTGGACCAGGAGCCCAGTGAGACTTTGTGGGCGAATGCTGAACATGAGCTTGAGCTCCGGCTCCAACAGAACAGAGTCAGCTTTGGAAAGGAAGAGTAGACCATGAAACCGTTGTAACTAAAGGCGAAAGATAGAGTTCTTAAAACAGAGACTTGAACTTCACCAAACCACTTCTTACCCAGGATGACATGACCTCCTTCTTGGGAGAAATAAATGCCTTTCTCCAGAGAGCCATTCATGCAAGGAGACACCCCAAAGTTTCTAAAAGGGGAATCCAAGGATTTTAAGCCCAATCGAAAGTTCTTCAGGCATCCCACAAAGCTGTTTTGAGGGAGGTTCTGTGACCAAGCAGAAGAGAAAAGAGTTCATTAGCTACATCTCCCTGAAATGCACAGGGTCGGGGTCACAATGTTCAGGGGTAGTGCAACATGTAGGTGAAAGATTTATTGTTTCTGCTTCACAGAGTCCAGTGGGTCTGACTGTTCTACTCCCTGCCCACAGTGTCAAGGAAAACCTGTCTGGCAGCTGTTTGGTGGGTTCGTGCAGTTCCAAGGCATCTCCATGCCAGGTGGGGCGTGTGCGGGGTCTGGGAGCCATGGAGTTTGCCAGCTTGCGCTGGAGTACGGATCAGGAGAGTTGGCCTGCCCCTGAGCCACACACATGGTGAGATGCAGTGTGGGAAAGTTTCTGCCTCACTGTTCACAGGTCTCACAAGCTCTCTGCAGGCGTGAACCACTCCTGAGAGTTTTGTGAGCTGGGATGAGAGCTTAACACAAGGCAGCTGATGGAAGCACTAGGTCAAAATGTTCCACAAATAATGAAGCGTCTCACCACTCCTGCCATTGTTTGGCTCAGGGCACTACCACCGGAGCACAGGTGCCAAGGAGGAGCGCACTGGGGCGGCTTGTGGCCAGCTCTGGAGCAGGGGCTCCTCACCTGGGCCAAGGTCGGGTGTCTAAATTGGTGATCCCCTATATCATACACCGGCTGTTCTCCATAAGTACATTTTGCTGGAGAGCAGGACTGTGTTGTACTCACAGATTCTCAAGATGTTTATATAATTCTCAAAAAAGGATCTTAACAATCATTGAATAAAAATCCCCCAACCTCTTCTAGAATAAATGATTTTAGGGCTCTGGAATTCCAACAACAACAGATGTAGCACTAAGAGACAAGGGGGATGTCAGAGATGAACGTGTGGCTTGCATCAACAATAAACCATTGGCTGGTCTCCATACAAAGCTTTAGTTTCTTAAGAAGCCCTGGAGTCCAAGCTAGTAAGCAAATCCTCCTCAATCACAGCCATTTCTAGGCCCACAGTTGAGTCTTGTCACCCAGTGAAAAATCTGAATCCAGAACCAAGCACACACTTCTCAGAATAGGCATAACCTGCCCTGAACCCCTAAGGGCCAAGTGGGGAAGGGTCCTTGGGGAGGGTGTGGAGGAGGGCTAAGATGATGCTTTGCATGCCCAAAAGCTACTGTAGGGGAGAAAACAAAATAATACTTTATTGCTGGGGCTTTGGCGCAAACTTCGAGCAAAATTCTAGTGGGCCAGGCTGTGCCTTGTAGGACTGGTTCTGGCTGGGCCAGGCTGAGGCCCTGGAGGCCAAGCCAGTGGAGCAAATCTGCCTTCATTACATCCATGCCTCTGCCCCATTTGAGTCTGGGCCCTTCCCTGCCTCACGGCAAGCAAACATCAGACCAGAGCAGGTCACCGGCTCTCAAGGAAAGAGGCGACAGCTCTTTGGCCACTTTCCTTAGCTTGTGGGACAACAGGGCACATCTGGGAGAAGAAAGACAAGTGTGTGAGCCAGGGGCAGCTACTGCTCTGCCAGGAGGGAGGAGAGATGCAGAGGACACAGGCTTCTGACTGCAGCCCCGCCCGGCCTCTGAGCTTGACACCCAGTCAGGTCCCTCCCATCTGGGGACACAGGAGTCCTACCTTTCCTTTAACCCATGGCTCCCAGTTTGGGTTCTTGGCATCCTCTTTTTTAAAAATTCAGACCCTGATTAACACTGCACTGCATATACGGTTAGTATGTTCTTTTTTTCCCTTCCTCTTTCAGTACTGGGGTTCGGACCCAGGGTCTCCCCTGTGTCAAGCCTGCGCTCACTGAGCTACACCCCTAGCCTTCTGCCCTTTTCAGTCTCTGTCCAGCCCTCTGAGGGACAAGGGAGAAATTGCAGCTTTGTGCTAGTATGCCTTCAACACTCCCGGGCCACTTGACAGGCTCCTGCTTCTCCAAATGAAGAGGGCACAGGCCACACTACGGAGCTAATAACAGTTTCATCTTCATGTATTTATTTTTATGGTTTTGTACTATTTATAGCAAAGGATATTGGGTTTCCATTCATGAGAAAAAGAAATAAAAGCCTGTTAAAAACACATTGAAGTTCAATAGCAAACTATGAAGTCGATGCCGCGCCTGAGTACGGCACAGGTGGCAAAGGTGGCACAGGTAACTAAAGCGTCTCACTGTCTTGATCCAAAATTGCTTCCAACCTGTAGCCTTAAACATGTATGTACTGCCTAGGAGAGGAGCTAAGGGCCCTGTGCATAAACACACAAAGGCCTGTGCGCTCTACACATCGGGGTGCCTGCGTCCACCTGCGCCCTACACAGGATGGTTTCTACGTGGGGAGGGAAACCACGTAGAAACTCGTGGGTCTTTCTCATGGCCCTGTGAACATCTGATATTAAAAATATATTTAAAGCATTTTGAGATTCTTACACATCTTATATCATTACAACGGCAATACTATAAGGCGAACTTGTATCTATGTTTACCTTTGGCTTCCCTGATGGAGACCACCCCAGGTAAACCTGTGCTCTGGGGATGCTGGTGGAATTTCCAGGCAATCTGCCCTCCTGGGCCTGCAGCCCGTCCACCAGCAAGTGCCCCCTTCCGCCATCTTGCCCAAACACCACCTGAGGAGTGCAAAGAAACAAATGTCAAGTTCTTTCCTCTAATAAGTGCTGCTGTATTTTATTAATGGTCACAGGACATTTTTTGTTAAGTTTCCTACCCTTCTGATTGCTGTAAAAAGAAAAAAAAAGAAAGAAAAAGAAAAGAGGTTTTCCCCTGCTTGTTTTCATTAGCACTGTTTTGTGAGATTGTGTTAGATACTGAACAAACTAAGTGGAAAGGGCGGACAAATAAAAGGTTACTCAAAAGCGAACTACACAAACAGATGCGATTGATCTGGAACTTTGTACCCAAGATGGGAACCCAGAGGCACAGAAATCAGCAAACTTCTTTGCAACAAAGGGAAGGAACAGCTCGTGCAGACTGAGGGGAGGCTGCCAGAGCCAGGAGAACGCAGCCACTTCTCTGCTAACGGGAGGGGTTTGTAACCCTTTGCTGCCAGTTAGGACTCCTGGGCCCTACTGTGGACTCTGCCATCTCTGAGGCTCCACGTCCAGCCTCAGCCTCCAGCCTCCCCTGTCTGGGACACATGGGTGGCGTGTCACAACTCCTAATCTTCCCCAGCCTAAAACTCTTCTCTGGGGTCATGCGGCCTCCTCCCCACCTTGTCCTTCTTGGCAGACACCCACCACTGGGCACTGCTGCGGTATGAACTCCTCCCCCTCACCGAGCCTTGCACCCCACCCAACTCTCTGCTCTGCCTCCGGGGCCCATCTGGACTCCAGCTCTGCACCTCCACCCCAGTCTCTAGAGCCTCTGCTTCTACTTCTCTCCTCCCTACTTCTCCAAAAGAAGAGGGATCAAAACAGATCCTTTTGATATACTAGTTTATGCCTCTTCCAAGTGGCAGAGACACCTGGAATGAAGTCCCAAGCCCTCAGGTCAGCCCTCAGAGCATAACAATCTGGCCCTGCCTCCACTCCACACTTTTCCCAGCATTGTGGTCTGGTCAGTGACTAATTCCCACTGGGAGGTCCTTACTGTTGTCTTCCTCTGCCTAAAGCACTTGTTTAAGTTCATATGGTGGTCACCCTCTCCAGGAGGTCTTTCTTAACTAACTACCTCATCTAAACTAGTCTCCCTACCCGGCATTGTCTTTTCCTGATCTTGCTCTAGTGTCTTCCCGATATCTGCTGTTACACTGAGAATTTTGTGTTTATGTGCTCCAGCAGAGCAGCTTGGGAACTACTGGTTGAATGACTAAATGGATATAACTTGTGCAGTCACTTAGGTTACCTGATTGTCAGTTCCCTCATTAAAAGAAAGTTCTGGGCTGGGGAGGTGGCTCAGTGGCACAGCACCTAGCTGGCAAGTGTAAGGTCATGAGTTTCATTTCTGGTACCAAAAAGATGAAAGACAGAAGACGGAAGAAGACGGAAGAAGATGGAAGAAGATGGAAGAAGACGGAAGAAGACGGAAAAGACGGAAAAGATGGAAGAAGACGGAAGAAGACGGAAGACGAAGACGAAGATGAAGACGAAGAAGTTGTTGTTGTTTCCTGCTAGATATATACTGTATTTTTAAAAATCTGGTCTGCCTTGAGGCCAGAGCTGGGATGCTAGGGTGTGGGTCTTTGTGTTTGTGGGGGTAGGGAGGGCATTCAGATAGCCTGGAAGTGGCCACTGCAGGAGGCAAATGGTCCTGGGAGCAGGTTGGATGTAGACCAGGGGATAAAGCAACCCAGTGAGGATGGAGAGGGTCTAAGGAGCAGCGGCTGTGTCCACTGAGGTATTTAGGGCATCACTGACATCATGTATGCAGTAATCCCAGCACCAAGATGCCAGGAGCCCAGTGTCTCCTCCCACACAAGCGCTCCTGACACTGGTGCCTCTGCCTGGGAAGGATGCTGGGTCCTATTTTCAGTTTCTTAGACAGTGACCTTCACCCCAGCTGGAGGTGCAGGTTGAATATCTCTGAGCAGTCATGCTTGGGACAAAATGTGTTAGAAATTTTAAATTTGAATCTTTTTTAAATTTTTTTGGTGGAACCGGGGATTGAACTCAGGCCCTTGCACTTGGTAGGCAAGTGCTTATTCTACTGAGCTACTCCCTAGCCCCATGTTAGAAATTTTAGATTTTCTAGATTTGGGAATATTCACATGTACATGTATTCACATGTACATAATAAGATATTCTAAAGATGGTACCCAAGTCCAAACACAAGATCCACTTATGTTCATATATACTACATACATGTGGCCCAAAAGCAATTTTGTACAGTGTCTTAGCCTGTTCACAATTTGACTGCAACCCCAGACCAGCTGTGGAATTTTCCACTGTGCTGCCACATCTTTGCTCAGAGTTTGGGGATTTGGGAGCGTTTTGGATTTCAGATTTTTCAGAACGCGCAAACATTAGCCAAATCCTACCGTGTGCCATTTCCCATCCTTGTGCGTCTCTTTGCTTTTAAGCCGCAGCTTTTTCCCTTCTGCCCCCAGTGCAAAGACCAGGTGTCCCTTCACCAGGTAAAGAGCCATAAAGGAGTTCTTGGTCCCCGTGTAAAACACCAGCCCCCCAACGGAGGTGGTTTGTATGTCCACAGCAAACAGTGATCTGTGGAGAAAAGAAAGCAACAGGCAAGCAAGGAAAAGGGGGGTTGGTACCATTTTTCTGCATCTCGCGGCTAGGAGTGGGGTGCATATGCCCAAGCTCCCATTTTTCCAGTTCATGAGCAAGAGCATGTCACATGGGCCTCCTCCCTGCCCCTGGAAACCACCATTCTAGTTCCTGCCTGCATGGATTTACCTGCTCTAGGTACCTCATATCATTGAAATCATACAGTATCTAGTTTTTTAAAATCTTATTTATTTGGTACAGGGTCTCGCTACGCAGCTCAGACTCATAGAGACCCTCCTGTCTCAGCCTCCCAAATGCTGAGATTACAGGTGTGCACCACCACACCCAGTTTCAGGGCCAGCACAACACACAAAGCCAGTGCTGCATGCAATACCAGGTATCGAACCTGGTTCCTTGCACTTTCCAAGCATGTGCTTAGACCACTGAGCTATCTCCCCAACCCATATAGTATCTGTTTTACTGTGACTGGCTTGTTTCACTTAGGAGCCTGAAGTCGGTAAGGACAATGAATAAGCATTACATTTGTGTGTACTTCCAGAGAGGGCGGTGGTAGGGGGAGTAAGGATCAGCAATGAATATGGGTGTGGCCCAAGCTTCACATGAGCGCTTTCACTCTGTGGGACTCATTTAACAGAAATGTGCAGAAGTAAAGAGTCACCTGCTTCTACAGCTCTCCAACCCCACACCTCATCTAGGATGGAAAAGGAACTAAATATGGTTTGGTCAAAGCAGAGGTTGAAAGCTAACATGCACAGCTGGAGAGATAGCTCAGTGGTCTAAGCACTGGCCTGGAAAGTGGAAGGACCAGGGTTTGATCCCCACTACAGCATACCATACTGGCCCCAGAAATTGGTTGTGGTGGTACACAGCTGCAATCCCAGTGCTGGGGAGGCTGAGACAGGAGGATCTCTACAAGTCTGAACTGCATAGCAAGACCCTGTATCATATAAATAAATAATTTTTTTTTAAAAAAGAAGTTTAACATTCACTAACATGAGCAGTTTCCATGGCATTTGTACATCTGGCTGAGCAAGATTTACTGTCTGAAAACTTACATCTGTCCACCCTATTCAACAAGTATGTAGCAAGGATAGAGCTCTGTGCTGGACTCTGGGGATGCAGATATGGGTAGTTCAGCCCTGATCTATGCATGGTCCATGGATGCCCCAGAGGGATCCTAACGATATGGCAGGAACAGGCAATAGAGACACAGGCAACAGCTGGCCGTCATCCTGCACGGCTTGAGCCTACTGTCTCAGCACACGTCGGGCTGGGGGCAGGGGCCAGCTTGGACCTGCTGAGGGCTGCACCCCAGTGCAGTGTGTGGAGCAGGGGCTCAGGAAATCATTACGTAATTAAGTTAAACAGCCAACAGACATTCTGGAGGCAGGACCTGGAAGCGGAGGGGAAAGCTGCACTTCACTTTGCTTTTCAGTACTATGAGCTGAGATGTAATCTTCAGATTAGCAAGTTTCCTAGAGGGGAACATTCTTCAAAAGGAAAAAGGAATTCGTGTTTGTTTCATGAAACCACACAGATGGCAGCAGCTGCGGCTGCAGGGCGGGCTGGCGGCAGGAAGGCGGATGCTGGAGGGTGCTCCGAGGGAAAGCGCTCCCGCGTGTGGGCCGGCTGATCAGACTGACATTTACTTCCCAGAACTGTTTCTGCAAGCAATTTTCTTTCAGAAAAGACTAACTAACTAACAGCACGAAAAGGTGGCAGTGGATTCAAAGCCCAGAATGCGATACTGTAGCTTTCACTATTGGTTGCTGGAGGCGGAGAAGTAAATTCACACATTCATCTCTGGTCACAATAAGCGTACCAACTTGCGAAGAGAGGGCACTAGTTTGGAAAAGAGTCAAACGTTGCTAGAGCGCCAATGGTAAAATATTTTCAGCTTCCTACAGATATAAGTTTGCGGTTCCTGAAAATATAATTTGATTGCTATGAGATTTGGCACTGAATAGTTTAAAATTTGTTTTTATAAATGATGGACTGCACTTTAAACTTTTTGAACGCTACCTTCTTCATTGATGAGGCATAATTCAGAGCTGGAGAAGGCTGAGGGACAATCCCTTCCCTATGCCTTGCTCTTTTTTTAGCACAGTTTTACCAGTGGAAGGATCCGAAGTCTTGCCCCTGGAGACATGGAACGGCCTGATGATTTCGCCTATTGAATGCAGTATTTATTTCACTGTCTAGGTATTCAGAACTGAACTCACAGCCTTTGTATTGAGCTACATTCCCAGTCCTTTTCATTTTCTTATTCTGAGACAGGGTCTCACTAAGTTGTGTGATCCTCCTGCCTCAGCCTCCCAGAGTGCTGGGATTACAGGTCTAAACCACCAGAGCTGCTCTGATGCAGAATACAACTCCTCCTTGACCTTCACATCTGCCTGCCAGTGAATCCTGTCTAGAGAGGGCTTCCAAGAGCAAAACTTCCCAGCCACCGGCTCTCCTTCCCTCAAGGGACCAGAACCAGCTCCATTTAACAGGAGAGAAAAGGGACGTGTGGAGTGGTGGTGATTTGCTAGAACACATGGGCACACACAGAAGCTGGGCTTTGAAAAGCTGCTAGGTGGTTTGTGGTGGCACACAGACATGCTCCTTCGAGAGGCCCTGCGTGGGCACAGTGCCCTGGCCACCCACAGACGGGCAGCAACAACTCGGCTGCTTCCAGCCAGGGGTGGGCTCCACACCAGGCCCTCTGGGTCGACCTCTGCTTGGGGTGCACTACAGTTTGAGCCCCTCCACTGGCGCTTGTCCTTGCTGAACTCTCTCATGGGCCAGCAGGCCACATGCCAGTTTCAGGTTCTCTCTGGCCTCCCACTGGCATCTGTCCCCTCGCTGTCACCTTTCACTGGGTTTCTCACAGTAAACCCAGTTTGTAAATCTGTTTGCATCTGGGCATCTGAGTCTCAGAGCAGCTGAGCTGGCACACGGCCTCGGGCCACGTGGCCAGAGTGTGACTGACTCAGGACCGACAGCCAGGTCACTGTGACCCCTGAAATCCTGCCTCTGCAGAGAGGCTCAAAGGAACAGCTGGACCCTTTCCTTTATGCCGCCTCCAGACACCTGAGAATGACACGTTGTTTTCCTCCTTTCTGCCAACATCATTAATATTTCTGCTCATTTCCTCCTCCGCCAAAGAGATGCGATGTGCTAGCACAAAGAGTCAGAATGCGCTCTCTAAAAAATGATCTATCTGCCTCCAGGGCTTCCTAAATGAACACTTCTTTCGCTACAGAAACCAAAGAAAGGTGCTTCGTCATAGAAATAAATAGCAGCTTTGGGAACAAAGCTTATTTTTAGAACGCTGTCAATTCCTAACCGATTGTCTCAGCCCCTGAGCAGTGCATGCCACGTTTGCACGCCAGCTGCAGGGAGCACATGGCCCCCAATCACGTTCCCCACCCGGGTCCTGTGCAAGCTGGCACCTCTCTTCACAAGAACAGTGGTGGCACCATCCTTTGCGAAAGGTACACAGCATTGTGCCAGCTAAGCATTCCTGGGTAGAATTGCGGTTGAGTTTAGAGTTGGCCCTGGGCCAGGAAAATTTTAAAATACCTGGGTTTCAGCAACTCCTGGGGAAGCTTGAACAACAAGTGGCTGGTGGGGCTGTCCCCAAACTGGAGGGCTCTGTGAGTGGCCTGGGCCCCGGCTGGGGGCAAGCAAGGCTTTGCATCCTGCCATGCTTCCATGCTCCAGGGGGAGGTCGCTGGGGCATCCTGCAGCATCTGCTCGGGGAAGGAGCACAGGATCAGGGTGCTGGTTGCCAGGTGCTGAGGCAAGAAAGATGATCCCGCCAAGCCCCCGGCTCAGTTTTCCCACTCCAGCAAATAGTCCCGCGGGGATGGGAAGCTCCCACCGCGAGCCCTTCCTGCAGGTCGCTGACTGGCACAGAGCAGGGGAGAAGGGAAAGCCGGAGCTGAAGCTCAGCTCCAGAGCCCTCCTGTAGCTAATCAGCTCCTAGTGTGCCTGTGCTCTCTAGGGGGCTACCCAGGACTGGGAGGGGCTGGGGTCATTCTTGGGGAGGGGAGAGCTGCAGAGCCTCTAAATGTCACCCTTCTATTGCTCTGTTGGGAAGGAAGTGTGTCACTGTCATCCTATGCGAATCTGTTGTTTTTGGAAAGCTCTCACACCTGTGGCTACTCAGCATCCTGCCCCATCATGGAGCTGGAAGCAGCAACATCCCCTCCAGAGCCGTAGGTGGCTGGCAGCACAAGGCAGCTACAGCCAGCCAGTGGGACACGGGGCCCCTGCACTGCTGTATCCCTTTCCTGGCCATCCACTGGGGCTTCTGCAGCAGGGCAGGTGAGTGGACCCATGAGAACTATCAGTAATGTAGGATGAACAGTCTTGGTAGCCACCCTGTGCCACCAACCTTCTCATTACCTTTTGAAGAAGCCAGAGCCCAAGTCGTGGGCATCATGGGCACCCAGCTGTTTTAGTTCCTGTCTTCATGTCCTGCTGCTCCTCCCTACGACCTATTTTGGTGCTGCTCTCTGCCTTCCTGGGTCTCTGCCCTGGAGTCGGCCTGACTCTCACACTGGGATGTTGCTGATTTAGCTCCTTGCCCCTAGGATTTCCCTAACCCTCACCATCCCCCAGGCTGCTGACAGTTTCATCATCCTTAATCTTCTCAGCAGTTTAAAGCATACCCTTCAAAGGCTTTCCACTGGTAATGACAGTGTCTGAGTCCACACAGTCACAGGAGGTCTGCCTGATCTGACACTAGTGTGTGATAGAAGTTACGCTCTGCTTCAGCTCCCTTCTCTGGATTCCCCAGTGTGTACCCCACTTTCCCAGCTTAGGCTTTCAGAGCACATTCAATGAGATTTGACATCCCTGAGCTTGAAGGCTGACCCTGCCAGCTACTGATGGGTGCTCTCGGGCAAATGTTTGGGACTCAGCTTCCTGCCAAGAAGTTGGTATTTTCTTCTGCTCTCGGAGGGTGGTGGTACAAACCAAGGGGCATCACGAAGCCTTGGGGAAGACTGCACACAGCGTCCTGTGCCCACAAGCACCCCCAGTCTGTCTCCAGCCTTGGGCTTCTGCTCCCCAACATCAATATTCACACAACTGAGCTCGATGCACGCTCAGGAACCCCAGCTCCTAGGTCACCGCCCCCAGGACTCCCCTCATTTCTATAATAGGAAAATCCCTGCTGCACCATTCCTGTAGCATTTTCTGTCCCTCTTGTTCAGGCTTCTGCCATTATTATGCACGGTAGTAGTAACTAATGTGTATTACATGCTTCCTACGTGTCAGGTCCTTTCTCAAGTGTGTCAGGCGTACTTCAGCCTTCAGTGCTCACAACCACATCAGACAACATGATCATTATTTCACTCCACTTACACTGGAGCAAGAGGGTTCGGTGACTACACGAAGGCACATGTCTAACCAGCGATGGAGCCCAGCGCGAGCCCCGGAAGTCTGAGCCTGGGGACCAGCACTCAGCCCTAAGCTTGTTAGCAGAGAGAGTTGGAACCATTCTCTCTCTGAGAATGGAGCTATTCAGGGCAGAGCTAACAGCTTCTCTCTAATCTGGGGCTTGCACAGAACTGTGGAAAAAATCACAGTCACAGACATTGCCCACAGGAATAACCCTGGTCCCAGCAACTGCCCCCTCCCCCGTGTTCCTGCAGCTCTCTGGGGCTCAACACACCACCAACTCCCTTTCCTCTTTTCCCTCCAAGCCTTTGTCCTCCTGTCCCTGTGGTGCTTTTGGTGGAATCTCCAGCAGCCCAGCAGCCAGGCTGCGTGCCTCACACGGTCCCATCTCCCCCTGGTCTCCAGTGCACTTGTCTGAGTCCAGCATATTCTATACTATAAATAGCTTTAGAATCCATTTCTTCCTGTTCTGCTCCACACCACCACCTGTTCTGCCTCTTAGGAGTGATGGGGCTTACAATGAGAAAATGAATACATGGCTTCATTTCTGAGGGCACAATTCTAAAGATGCTCCTCTGGTAACAGAAAAATGGCAAAGCTTTGGATGCATAAAGTGTATTTCTTGGCAATAGCATAAAGCATTTCTTCTGTATTATCCACTCAGACTCTGCAAATCTTCATGCATCACAGAAACATGAGCAAATGGCACATGGATGAAAACTGGGCAGAGCAGCAGATCACTGTCCAGGGGACACAGGCTATGGAGCCTTGTGACCACCTCCACCTCCGACAACGGGAGCGAGGCTAACTGCCCACCCATTCCAACCGCCCACCCACCCTTTCTGCAAGTCGTGGCCAGGGACAGTCCTGACTGCACAAGGCAAAGGGCTTAGTAGGGAAACCCACTTGGAGGGCTTAGTGCAGTGCCTAGCGATTGGGGGGCTTGATGTTATCCATTAATCTTATCCACTGTGACCTCAGACACGGAAGGTTCCGTGTTGGCCTTGGGCAGAACAAGGAATTCCTTAAGACCTAACCCCGTGTTCAATTCCCAATGCCTCCACACCTCCACCCTTGGAATGGCACTGGCTCCCAGTCTCTTGGTGTGGCACATGGGACTCCCTTGGGAGTGATGACTGGCCCCACTCCTAAGGCCTCTGACCTGGGATTGCAAAGCTTTGGGGCTGTGCGGTCAAAGTTAAGCCCCGGGCCTCAACATGACCTGTGTACACATGCATGTCTCCTCCTCGTAGCAGCCCCATCAGGGCACAGGGGGTGTCTGTGGGCACGGGAGGGGTGTGGCCCAGCATTCTGGAGAAAGATCACTGGACCTGCTATAGACGTAGCAGAACTGTCCAGAGAGAAAGGCATCAGCTATGAAACTTCAGAAACCTATGAAGGGTCTCCTACCACTAGGTAATTATCAGCCTTGGACAGGAATCGCTTTAAATAACTTTAATGTTGCTTCAAGGTTTTCGTTTACTGCAGATAAGGCTCTCCAGAGAGCCACAAGGAGCTGGCTTAAGCCATCAAGGCCGCTCTGCTCTCTTCTAGGGGACTTAGAGAAAAACTTTGTTCATTATAGTATCATCATATTGTTACATTCTCTGTCCAGAGAATGCTTCTGTGAGCCTTCTTTTTGTTGCTGTTGTTGTTTTGGTTTTAGGGATTGAACCAGCTCATTTACACCGAGCTACATCCCTAATCCTTTGCTTTAGTTTGTTTGCCTTTCAGCTTAACTTTGAGATAAAAATATTGAATTGCTAAGTTGCTCAGGGTGAGTTTGAACTTGTGATCTTTCTGCTTCAGCCTCTTAGAGTGCTGGTGTCATAGACATGCCCCACCACACCCAATTCTCTCTGCCATCTTCGAACATGCAATGTGGGAAGAAGCCGAACATGTCCAGGAGTGTGCCCACCTCCCCGTGTGAGGACAAGGGTCCCCAATATGAACGTGCATGTGTGTCCTGTCCAAAGCCCCTGGATTTCTTTGTTGAAAGGCAAGCACTGCTCTGAGAACTATTCCCCAATCTTTGTTGCAAGGAATAACCCTTCTTTCTTCGCTCTCCTACTTCCTGGTTATGCTTCTGGGCTTTGCCTTCACCAAGGGCCAACCCACTCTGTTCAGTTACAGTTCTGTTTGTTCTGTCACTGAAAACCTGGCCAAATTTTCAAAGACATACCAACCAAAAGCCAGAAAGAGAATCATTTTGTCATTTTGGCACAATTCAATGGCAGATGGCCGGTGAATGCCACTTCACAGAGGCACTGACCTCTACAGACCTGGCGATCTCCCCTCCTTTCCTACCACCGTCCACCTGGGCTGGCCAAGGAGAATCTTCTAGTGGAGGTAAAGCCATTGTGAAGTTTTGACACTTACTCTGTCAATACTGAAGGTCCTGGCCTTGTTAAACTTTGTGGGCCCTTTAAATAACATAAGGAAAGGCGGTTTGTTCAAGCTGCAGCCTCCCAGGGACACATCTCTCTTGGTAGATTTACTGGCAAAATCTAAGACTTCAGGGCTCTCCCGCGACCTGGAAAGGGGCAGAAATGAAAGCTGCTTCATGGTGATCCTCCTGCCTGTTTCCAAAGTACTGAGATTACAGGAATGTGCCACCACACCCATCAACAAATAATATTTTTAACTGCCAGGGGTCCTAGTACATTCATACCTCCCACCTGAATATCACAGGTACAAGCCAGAGGAAAGAACAGGGGCACTTAATTGACTAGGACTGTGGCAGAGGAAGACAGTACCAGAGGGGCGGCTGCTCTCATCAGTCCCCCCAAAGAAAAGATCACCCACCTCTGGACAAAAATATTGCTGATGCAACCCTCAAAAGAGCTCCCCCCAAGGCGGAGAGACTGTGGGGAACTGGAAACGCCCTGCAGCCTTTGGCTCCTTCGGAGCGGCTGGTCATCCACGAACAGCCGGAGGCTGAAAGAGGAGAAAGCAGAGTGACGGCTGCTGGGGGAGATGCTCATGCCATGGGGTCAGTCACCACCCTGGACCCAGACTCAGCATCCATTACCTAAAAGAACTGGTAAGACTTGACTTGTCTTTACAGACCACGGAAGGTCACTTTCATGTACTTTGTATGCAAAACGCTTTCATTCTATATTGCACGCATACAGGAATTGAGCATATCTTCTTTGACTCAAAGAGTCTCACAACAGGAAAACACCAAAATAACCAGGTCCCAGAGAAAGAACAGAAAGCCTGCACACCAAGAGCCCCACTGTGAGTTGCTTTGCAGTCTCTGGTTTCCCTCCTTCTCTGTGAATAAGCAACATATCAAACTCTGGTTTTGAATAATTTGCCCTGCTTTTGAACTTCATAGAAATGAGATCATAGAAGAAGATTTCTTTTATGGGTGATGTCTTTTGCTCCACATTATATTTGTAAGGTTCATTCATGGCATTCCCTATCATTTTAGATTTTTCTTTTACATTTCTGTGTAGTAGTCCATTTTGCATGTACCACAACTGACCCACATCTATCTACTTTTCTTTCCTTGAGAACATTGATCTAGAACAAGGACAAAGACTAAGATTTCCAAGTAAAATAACATCAGTACCAAGAACAAACATTTTGCAGAAAGATACCAGAGAATTCCATTAATGTGAATCAAACAGAACTCTAAGAGCCCAGATGGAGGTCCCACACCACTCACCCTGCGTTGTCGCTTATTACAGACACGTAATGCAGCAAACCATCCATGTATGTCTGAGGAGACTTAAAAATTGGGCTGTTGCTCTCCCTGGTGCTCAGTTCAATGTGACCGTCCTCCAGAGTGACCTGCAGGTTGCTTGTCTGAAACCAGCACAGAGCACACCCATCAGAACTTATCTGCAGCTAAGATTATGAGTAAGTGAACACTCGATTTATGATCCCAACCATGCATAAAACAGGATGTTTTGACCAACATGTTTTGACTTAGCCATCTTAATCTAAAGGTTAGTCCCAAATATTTTAGCTACATGTTTATGACTATAAAAATCCTATACAAATTATTTTAGCACTTATAAATTTATCAAAATCATTTTTCTGGAGCTAACACTCATTAAGACAATCTAAATTCACAATCAGTTATCCAAAATAGTAAGTCATTTCTATCTTAACTTTCATTCTTCTAAAGTTATTTTTATCAGAATCAATTCTTTTATGAATACATTTTAGAGCAAAGAGCTGGATCATCATTTTTTTCATAGAGGATTAAACAATGATTTCTTCTCTTTGGTCATCATGAATTTTTTATTTTCTGGTCATTATTTTTAGAAGCCCAATTTTCCATGTCAAACTGTGCAGATCTAAGTTTTCACAAGGTGATTTGACTTTCTGTCACTTATTCACTTAAAAATGTGTAATTTCAGCAGTTTTCAATGCAATTTTATTCATTTTTTTTTTCCTTCCAAATTGAGTTTCTGCAGTTTTAAGGAAAAGGTGACTCTTTGGTGAACTTTCAATCTAAAACAACTTTTAGACTGCATGATGGCAGTCATCATTAGTTTTACTTTTGTGCTGCTTTTTTCTTTCCATTGGCAATATTCCTTATAAAAAGGATAAAGAAATTATGTGCATACATATGAAGTTGAAGGCAATGTCCCTGAAATACTTTTAGGAGTCCTCTGTTGTGCAGGGTTGTTCTGATCTTCAGCTAATCCGGTTTTCCCATTGAGTGTCATATACTAAGTGTTCCCAAATGTGGTACAGAAGTGCTGGTATCACAAGAGTTAGGCGCAAACATCCTGTTTTATGGAAAAGATAGCCCCAGCGTAATGTTGCCCTGTGATTTCTAAGGGCTAGTTTTTGAAAACATCTCTAAAGATTGATGATCAAAATAGCAAACGGTGACACTTTCCTCCTACTGCACAGCCACAGACTTGGCTATCGTCATCTAGTATCTTAAGAGATATGAGACATATGTTGTGCCCGACGAGTCTAAAGAAACAAATCCGAGACCTGGCCAAATAGCTCAGTGGATTAAAGCACCTACAAACAGGCATAGGGGCTGGGGGTTCAATCCCTGGGCCTGCCATGCCAGCCTCGCCCCTGGGGTGCACTGAGCCGGCAACTGAGACTGGGCATGGTGGCGCACACCTGTAATTCCAGCTCTTGGGAGGCTGTAAACAAGTGGAGCACTAGGAGTCCGATCTAGTAGTGAGACCCTGAACAACCTGTAGACCCTTCCCTAAAATACAAAGTAAATAAATAAAATAAAAAATAATGAAGAAACAAATCTAAGATCCATGGCATCCTACTTCTACCTCTGTTTAAAAATTGCACTTATAGGGCCGGCCAGATAGCTCAGTGTATTAAAGTTCCTGCTTAGGCAGACACAGGGACCAGGGGTCCAATCCCTGGCCTGCTGTGCCAGCCCCAGCCGTGAGGCCTGCTGGGATGATGACTGAGACTGGGCATGGTGGTCCACGTCTGTAATCCCAGCACTTGAGAGGCTGAAAAAGCAGGAAGGATCACTACAAGTCAAGCTGTGTAATGAAACTCTATAGACCCTAGACTAAATATATTTTTTTAAAAAAATTGCACTTATTCTCCAAGTGGATTCCCAACAACTAGCGGGCTGCTATGTCCACACACTAACTTCTCAACCCCAGAGGGCTATCCTCGTGGGAGGGTATGTCTATGGCTCTGTATATGTGAGCAGACAACAAAGGACCTTCTTTGTCTCATTCTTCAGATGTCAATACTGTCCAGCTAGATGCTGCAGAAGAAAAGAAACAGGACTCTATAAAGATCAACCTTTCGTGTGACCAAAAAGGAACAACAGACATAAATTCTGATTTTTCTTTATATTTAAACTTTTGGTCAGATTATGACTCATAAGTTATAATTCATTTTGAATCATCAGACACACCTATACAGAATAAAAATAAGTCCAGAAAGAAACACAGACTTGGTTCTGTGAGTTGGTATGTGCCTGTGTGCATTCTAAGCTCTGTATCTTTTAGGATCTACCCCAGGGAGGAGGCTAACTCTCAAGCTCAAACTGTACAATGGCATTGACTTTGATGACTGATAAAATACCCTGCTACTGTAGTGTCAAAAATCTTTCTGTGGATTTTGACATTAAACTTTGAGACAGATTTAAAAGCGTACAACACTAAGGCCTCGTCTCTTACCCGTGTCTGATGATTTAGTAGCACCCCGCTGGGTTGATGGGTCTGAAAGCCAAAGGAGGCCTGGAAGTGACCCTGCTCCAGTGGGTCCAGGTTAACAAAACTCAACTGTCCCCCTCTGGAGAACGAGGCAGAGCGCACAAGCTGCAAAGCAAACATGGAATCCATTACTGGCCTTGTAATCATTTCATACCTAAAACACAAGTGTCTTGCCCTAGAGCAGATGAATGTGACTCATGGAGCCAGAAAGAAACCGAGTCTGTTTTGTGGGTTTTGAAAGGTTTGGGTCAATAGTCCTACTCTCCTCAAATTCCACAGGTAAAGCTGAAGGAACTCTGTCCCTTGCAAGTATGGGGCTGTGCAGCGGATCGATCTCCCACAGTGTTTGCTAGCAGCAAAACACCAGAAGTTGATGCACAGCCACATTGGCAAGATGGCCCGGCTGGGACACATCCTGCCCCAACGTTAGAAGCCTCGGCTCACCTGCCAGTCCTCGGAGCACTTTTTGGTCACTCCCACGGTATCATTCAGCCTCACAACGCCGGTGGTCTTCTTCAGATTTTTCATGCAGCCTCGGAAAGCAGGTGTAGAAATATTGAACCTGCAGAGGGATTCAAAAGAGGAAGACGTGGCACAGCTGGAACTGCAGCTGGAATTTATTCTGTAGCTCCAGCTTGCCCTTCCATGAGTACTGTCCCTTTATGGCTCTCTGTTCCCTTGGGATGCCTATAACGCTGTCCAAGGATCCCTAAGATGCCTCTTGGAAAATCTACTTCCTTTCTGCAGGAGTTTTCATTCTCAGCTTTAAAAATACAAACAATGTTGACAGAACGGCCAGTGTCCCTGACCAGGGCTGTCCAGAGATGCAACATGTCCAACACCCAGCATGGCCCATCCCCCACCCCATGGTCATGGCATTGCATGGCGGGTAGGCAATGCAAGAAGAAGACAGCATGCAGCAGGTATCACACAGATAGGCATGAAGCAATCCATGTGCCTATGAACGGGTGCTCAGCGTCAGAAACGTCCTTGATAATGTCTTGAGTCTTTTTACCCATTTATTCTCAAGGGGGACACTGTGAACTCAAAAGAAGTAAAGTATTACTTCTGGGGCCAGTTGAATTATGGGAAATGGGGCTTGGCTTAATACATGCCCAGCTGGCACCACAGAAAGCACTGTCTGGAGTGGAAAATGTATTCACTAGCTCCTACTTTGCGGCATGAGTAAGAGACCACTGTGAATATTAAGTCAGCTAGTGCCTGGGGCAAACTGATGCATGGGACAAATTTGGAAGAGTGGTGGTACGTGTGGGGTGGGGGTGCCCCCCAGGAGCTGCTGCTGGAGGAAGGGCTATGCCCTCTAGAGCCAGGCTGCTGAGCTTCCGGTTCTGTCCCTGCTGCTTGAGCAAGTGGCTTCATTCTCTCTGCCTCGGTTCCATCCTCTGTACAAGGGGACCATAGTCACCTGTCTCACGGGGCTGTACTGAGTTTAAATCATGTGTGCAATCCACTCAGCTGGTGCCTACTGAGGAGGGAGGGCTCAGGCTGAGCGGCAGGGCTGGAAATTAGCCCTGATGCTGTGCTATCATTTTTCTTATGCCAGCTCTTCCCACACAGCACCTTGACATCTTTCCTTACATTTGACTTCTGAATTCTGTCTGCAGCTGAATCCACACAAAGCATAACTGACTAAAGTCCAGGCAAATATTAGCGTTTCTTAAGTGGTCAATGTACTAAGAAATCACAAAGCTGATTTCATTATAAATCCCCATGACAGCTCACTTTTCTAAATGCAGAGGTGCCTGCATTCATTTAAGTCTGATTTATTATAATCAGTGGAGCTGCATGGAACACACACAAAATTAAACTTCACAGAAAGGAAAAGGAAGACACAGATCCTCACTGGCATTGAGGCATGAGCTCAACTGTCTTATAAAGATAACTTTTGGCTCAGAAGAGGAAGAAAGCTCACCTTAGCTCCTGGAGCGAGTCTCTTATTCATCTTTCTAGGCCTAGTCTCTCTCAGGCCTTCTGAAACCTGCACTTCGAAGCCTGATATGCTTGCTAGAGGGAGGCAAACATGTGGGGTTCAGGCTGCAGTGTTCCTGCATCCCTACATGAGGGTCAGCTGCCTACAGGGGGTCAACCTGCCCTTTGGGTTGACCTGTCAACAACCCAGGTAAGCCCGCCAAGAAAGTGTATCCTGCCTCCCAGCTTTGGAGGCAGATTTCAGAGAGCAGGAAGGACAAAGCCTGACCCTAAACTTGGGCTTGAATACTGAATAAAGATGCAACAAATCCTGGGCTTATTTTCACTTCTTGAATTATTTTCCTGTTTTAGGGTTGCACTTTGCAAGACCGTGGGCTAAGTTCCCAAGAAAAATTTCCTCACTGGGATCAGATCTTCGGCATCATTGGAGTTGACTTGCTCCTCTCCTGGGAAGCAGATGGGATCAGCAGATGGCAATTTCTGATTACAATCAAAAGAACCTCATTCCCAAATCTCAGTCCCCAAACTCAGGAAATAAGTACAGTGAGAAGAAGATGAAAAGCACTCAAGTAGCCCCGCTGATGAAGCTGGCTCCTCCAGCGATGGCTGCAGTGTGCTACGAGCACCAGGACCCGCCATTTACTCCACAATCCGAAGCTGCCTGCAGAGCATGGCAGAGGGTTATGGGGAGAAACCCTCCTGCTGTCCAGTGACCCCCACACTAGGTTGTTTCAGGGCTCACTGGACTTCAGAAGACCACCTCAGGGATGAGGCAGGCTAGGAACAGCCAAATATGCTCAGCATTTTAGTGAGGAGGGAGTAGAAGCCCAGGGAATTCTCCTGCATTTTTCATGTTGTAGTGATTTTAATTAAAAATCAGAGCATAATGCTGAGCTGTAAAAGGCGCAAGTCAACAACTTCTGACAATTGCCAGTTCTGCTGATAACCCACCACTATTACAGACTATTGGACGAGTTTGGGTTATTTTGCTGAATTCAAGAACCTACAGTCTTTGGACTGGCATCCAGTATGAAGAGGTCCTTTAAAGACTTCTCCAAATACAGCTTCTCTAAGAGCAATGGAACACACATCTCTGACAAAACAAAACAAAAAAGGTGGATATGTTGGGCGCTACGAAGCTAGGAAATCGATCACATGTGTGTAGGCAGGACCAGACCTCAGTGCCGAAAGCAAACACGCTACCTCAGTCCTGAGCTAAACATCCTGTCTGGTTAAAGTCAGCTACTAGTCACTAGGAAACCTTGTGTCACATATTACAAACTTTGCAAAAGTAGAAATAAAATACTGTTTTGTGAAAAAATATATATATACATATGCACACACAAGAGAGTTAGAATATACAGTTACTTTCTTTTAGTTCATTGAAAAGAAAGGTTTGTACTAATATTGTTTAGACAAGATATCATGTCTGCATCTTGTCCTCTGAATAACTACTATGAAGACAACAATATGCAATGTATTAATTATTGTTAACTGTCCTACTAACTTATTTTGAAACTGTTTTATTGCTTTTATCTTTTTTCTCATTAAAATGAACTTTAAAATTAAAAAATAAAAAAATCAGAGCATAAACATGCCCAGAAAAGGCAGGCAGGTCTGGGTGTATAAGGTCCTAAATCAGAATATTCGGAAAATTCTGTGTGTGGTCCATGTGCACTGGCACCTCATATTTGCTTATCCATCTATTTCTTTAATAGTTAAAGGTAGAAGGGCAAATTCAACCCAAGTACTGACACCCCAAGGTCACCCCACTCTTTGGTGGTAGAGCCAAAAACACGGACCACCTCTTCGGTTCTGGGTGGATGGGCACAGCTTTGCTCTGCCAAAGCCCCTCCGGAGCCTCCTCCCACGACCTGCAAGTTCTCAGGTATCCTGGCATCCCACACCAACACTGGGGACATCCCCATGGTACTTCGTGGTAGGCGCCAGCTCTTTGAAGTTCACAAGGTCTCTAGCTCTTGGCTCTTCACACATGCTGATAGCTAGCATCCCTCATCCTAGCTACACTCCACCTGCCTGGTGCCCCCGACTGGACCAGATTCCCTCCAGCCTTGCAGCACACTGACTCCTCCCCCTGGCACGTGACACACTTAGCTGTAGTGACAATGTCTCTCCTGCTCTGTGTTAGTGTCTGCCCCGGTCACTGACTCCCACATTCTGTGATGCTATGTGGTACACACGACACACCCAACAAATGCTGTGTGATAAACAGATAAGTGATAACTTGCAACTGTACTCAGAATTTCTGACTATTTACCTTGTACAACTCTTTTATCACATCTACATTCAATAATATCTAAACTAGCAACAACTCATAACTGGCTATTTATGGCTGCACTGCTATTTAATATTGATGATGCTAAATATGAACAGCATCTTGTTGGCCTACAATCTCTTCACCTGTTCAGGGACTATCTACCATGATTTGCAAGGTCCTTCTCAGTCAAACATATTCACTTCCCAATTCTTTCAAGTGCCAAGTTTTCTCGCCTGTGTTTTAGTTTTTGGGAGCAACTTATAAAAGTCACATGTACTACTTACTCCTCCCAGCTGATTTTATACATTAGAAATAAGGTTATGTAACTTCAGATCTCTTCTAAAAGTAATCATAATCAAACATTCCACAGTAAGCTTAACTGGGTCACAAGGTGCACAATCAACCCTCCTGGGCTATCTTCTTTCTACACATTGCTGTCAACTATCTAAAAGTCTTGTACTTTCTAAACAAATTGATGAAATGTAAAAGTTATTTCTGTGTGCATTCTCAAAGTGGCAGAGTATTTTTTCTCACTTGGATTATACTTTACAGCCTTCATAGAATGAATTTTGTTCATTTATGCAAAGAAAAATTATGTACTTATTCCACCCACCACAGCACCCAAGGATACGAGTGTGAACAGTATGTCTTAGGTTCGTTGAGAAATTTTCTATAGAACACAGCCTCAGCTTTGAGGGCCAGTACTGCTGTCAGGCCCTGGGCCACCACCTATTTGCAATAGCCCAGGGCCACCAGCCTCTTTCTGCTGGCTGGAAGCACTGTCAACCGAGGGATGCTCTTTGTGGTTTCTCTCCTTCTGAGGCTAACAACACGAGCAACATATAGAGTCCCCTTCTTTGGACAGTATTTACAATCTGCTCTACTCTGCTGATTACACTGCTAATACAGAAGAGTTCACTTTGTGTTTGTGGCTTTAATAAAACAAGGCTGCTGTGATTTGTGTCTCGATGTCTCCCCACAGATGGACTCAGGATCATGAGGCTTTGTTCAGCGGTGGCTGAATCCAGAGTAATTGGGAGTGCAACACTGGGATTAAGGGTCCTAGGATTAAGGGTGGGTGATTCTGGATCAGTCCACTGCCTGGATTGGCACCACCCTAATCCCAATAAACTGGATGCAATACAAGGGACAGAAAGAGTACTGTTGCTTTGGGTGTCCTTCACCACCATGACTGGTTGTCCTTCTGCCATGTGTCACCCTGCCTTGGAGCCAGCTGATTATAGACCAAAACCTCTACAGACTATGAGATAAATAAACCTTTCCTCCTTTAACTTTGGGTATCAGATTTTTGTCTCAGCAATGAGAAAAAAAAATAACTAAAGCAAGGCGGACTACTAGATTCATTGGTGGCCATCATTACCACTACATGAGGTGATAGATTTAAAACAACAACAAAATAGTCTTACCTTTCCCTGATTGCAATGGGAATTCCACCCAGATAATATGTGCTGAAATCAAATATTTCCCCTGAAATTCTGATATTTTGATCACCCACATTTATTCTCATAAGTTTCTGCGCTTTTCCAATCTTGATTAGAATCTGGAATAAATGAGGGACGAATCAGCAAGAGGTGGAAAATGAAAGTGTCCTATTTGCAGAGGCTCCAAGCTTTGATGTTTGCATCTGTTCTCCTTTAGATTCATAAGATGGCATAGTGGCAGTTTGGCAGAAAAATCTGATGCTAAAACATTTCAATAGATGATTTTCCTTGAAATGAACCGTGGCTTATATACGCCATATATATTACATGGTTCATGCCCAAATGTTCAAATTTTGAAAGGGTTCACCTGCCAGCTAATAAGTTCATCTGGCAATAGAAGATTTGTGCTTGGTTCGGTTTCTGCAGTTTGGCACTGAATTACTTTTAAAGGTAGATAGACTATGTAACAATTCAATTACACAGACTCCAAGGACATACCAAATGATCTTTCCCGTTGTTGATGGCGCCTCTGATTCCTTTCTCTTGTGGTGGTTCCGAGTCCAGTTTGTATCGGACCATGAGACTGCCATCTTCTATATCTAAGGATATGAAGTGATCCTGGGGACAAAGCAGTGCAGGTCATCAGCAGGGCCGGATCACCGGAGGTCGAGTTATCCTCGCCTCACTAACCACACTCCACTATCACTGTAAGACTTAATTCCTGGGACAGGTCTGATGGCTGACTACCGTAAGCCCCACTCAACCTGATGTTCACGACAGAACCAGGACATGCTATCGATCACTGTGCTTTTGTCTCATGCCACCATAACCAGCTTGTAAAAATAGACATTGATCACTGCAGTCATTTGAAAATAAAGACAGCTGCCTTCTGAGATGGACACGGCCTCACTTCAGCCTCAGGCATTTTCCCCTGTACGTGTTCTTAGATATATTGTCTCTGCTGCCTCTTTCCTTCTACTGCACATTTCAGTTCTGGGCATCTTTTCCCACACAGGGCTTCTCCTCCCCTCACACCACCCCGTGGCCTAGAGACCACAATCACTTCACCATGGCTGCACCCGTGAGGCCTGAATCTTTCTCTCTGACCTAGCTTCTCTCCTGGCTCTGTCTCCTCACGGCCAGGTCTGAACACTGAATTTCTCTGTTACTATCACTAGTGCTTCGATGACTCACAGATCCTTCAGATCCCCAATATTCCGGAGAGAATTTGTGAACACACACAGCGCACGTGCTGCCTCGCCTATCTCTTTGGCTCCAGGTTGTCTTTCCTTCACTCTGTGTGCACCACATCCCATCACTGTGCTGAGACATCTAAGAGGCACTTCGGGCCCATCTCTCTCTCCCAGCTTAGCAAACCTTACGAATGCTCCCCGACGTCTCTCAGGTCACCTCCCAGTCCCAGTGACAGCGCCTCCAGCTTGACTGCATGGCAGTAGTGCTCTGGGCTCTCCATGGCCCCTCGTACATCACTTCCAAGCTGCGTCCAGAGCAGTGCAAGCTGTCACTTTTCCTTCCTCCCTGGACACAGCCCTGACTCCTGGCAGATGCTGTGCGGTGCTGCCCATCTCTTTCCTTCATCCCTCAATACTCCCTCCAGCCCTGGAGCCCCCATCACACAAAACCCTTTCTAGGGCTGCATGCTCCTGCCCTCCCACCTCTGGGCCTCTTCCTGCCTCTCCCGCTTTGCCCCATCTCCTTCAAGTGTCATCTTCTACTTGTCCTTCAGGGCTCACATGAAGCATCCTTGCTTCAGAAAGTCCTTCATGTCATGTACCCTCATTTTTTCTTCTAAGGGGCTCCTTGTAATTAGAAGGATGATGAATTAGCAATTGACTTATTACCTGCATATCTTTGTATAACACAAGTCTTTCCCTTAATGGCAAGAACTGCGTCTGTCTTGGTCATTGCCTCTTGGTCTCAAAGTAACACATCATGTGAACCAGCCACTGCCTTAGTGGTTAGATGAACTGAAGAACTTCAGATTTAGGACTTGAAGATTTTGCTCTTACCCAGTTCCCTATGGTAAGAAGGCTTGTCTTTGAAGACCAGAGTCAGAGTCCTTATCTAAAAGGAGAATTATTCCTTCCCTGACCCCAAACCTTGTCCATGAGAGTTGGAATACAGCTCATCAATTAATGACTAAGGGAAACTCAAGCTCCCTGTGAGGAATGGGCCATCCTAGTCAACAGTGGCTTTCTGGCTCATTTCTTATGCAATGGCATTATGGAAGATTTCCTCTAACATAAGTACTAGTTCTGGCTCTTTACCTCTAAGGACCTTACAATGTACTATAGCCTGAGCATCCTTAATACAGAATTTGAAATTCAAAATCTAAATGTGTTTGAGCATCAACACAATACCACAAGTGTGATAGTTTAGGGTACACAAACTTTGCTTCATGTACACAATTATCAAAAATATTGTGCAAAATTAACATGTATATATACATATATATATATCAAGGAATTTCTTGTCTAGACTTGGGTCCCATTCTCAAGGTATCTTTTTTTGTACATGCAAATAGTTCAGGTCTGAAGACGTCCAAAACACTTCTGGTCCCAAGATTTTGGAAAAAGAGATGCTCAGCTTGAACAAAGGGGAGTTTATTTTAGAAATCAGCCACCTTGGCCTGAAGATGCCTGATGCTGACTTTTCAGATCTCTGCGAACTTCAGGCTGGTTGAGATCTTCCCAAAAAATCATCCTCAGTATCACCTGAAGGGTCCAGGTCAATCTTAAAGAGCAAAGTTGGGCCAGATCTGTATTGCCCAACCTGCAGGTAGAAGGTTCTGGTAGAGTCCCAAGCTTCATATCAATCCCACCTTCTCAGACCATAGCCCTTGGGCTGATCCAGATATCTGTGGAAATGGTATCTAAGATCAACTGCATAAGCTCTCATTCCTGGCGACCATGTGGGATGGCCCCACTCTTTCTTGACCAGTAGATGGCACAAGCTATCACTTGCAGAGCATCGCTCTGGTTTTTACCCAATCTACTGGATTCAGAAATTGTTCTTATTGGCTTATTGAAAGGAACATTTAATGCCTAATTATTTGATCAATTTTGCATGCCTATATCTTGTAACCTGAACAACTACTTTGAAGATAACAATATGCAACGTAACGATCGTGAATTTCCTATCATCTTGTTTTGAAATTTTGTATCATTTTTATTTTGGTTTTTATTCTCTTTAAAATAAGAATGGTTCCAAGGAATCTCAGCTGCTTTAAAGCTTCCATGACTTAGAATGTCAAGCAGTAGGCTGATAGAAGGGTAACCCTATAGCCTGGTAGCAATCAAACAAAGATGGATGTGGCAGGAAGCTGAACCCAGAAAGTCTTAATTCATTTTAAAGTACATCAAGTACATTATCAGGCTAGCAACTGTTCTTAAAGAATAAAACCAATGAGAACAGAATGAGAAAAGGAAATATCTCTCTGCAGTTTTAAGGCATGTTCTAGAATTCCTGATCTCTTGGCCTCAAAATTGCACCCAAGAGCCACCAGAAAGGAAGGGCATTTGGCCAAGGGAAAGGACAGATCACATCTGCATGTGGTTTCTCAGTGTCAGGTTGTCTATGTGGCACTCAGTGTGGTTGTCTATGTCCACATCACGGCACAGCATGGATACATTTGGTGGCATTGAGATGCTTCTTGGGAAGTACCTGGTTTTCTGCAAAGAACAGCAAACCTCTGTCCATGGTGGTCTGGATGGTCTGTCCGAAGGTTGGGAAGGGGGCATTTGGCTGAGTTGGAACTCGAGCGTAGCCTGTACCTTCAAAATAGTTTTTGTCTGACTCTTCTTTTCTCCTGTTAAAATCAATATCCCTCAAGTTAGAACACAGCAGCAAAGGGTCACCATGCAAGTGTGCTTATTAATACAAGATGCTGTTATCTAAAAAATGGAGCAAAGAATTGCAGTCTAGGTATCTTGACTTTGTCAAAGAAGAGAAGACATCTCTGACATGTTAAAAGCAGCCAGTTTTGCTTCCTAGATATGTTCTTGAACCCTAACTCAAAAACAAATATTGGGCCGGCAAGATAGCTCAGTGGATCAGGCACCTGCTTAGGCAAGCACAGGGACTGGGATTGGATTCCCAGCACCACATGCATGCTGGCCCACCCCCAGGCCTGCTGAGCCAGCCCCTGAAACCAGGTGTAGTGGTGCATACCTATAATCCCAGTGCTGGGGAGGCTGAAAACAGAAGGCTCACTACGCGTCAGCGGCAGTGACAACCTGAACCAAATATGTTAAAAAACAAAAACAAAAAAAAAAAAAAAAAACACCAGATAATATTCAAGAGTCTCCCCCAGACACATCTATCAGGAGGCTGAAAATCTTACAATATTAGAAATGATTAATTCAAAAAATAATTGTATTCTGAGTAACAAATACGTGATCTGTCTCATTGCACTTCTAGTAGTAGACACTGTTAACAGCTCAAAGCAGTAATTTAATCTACTTTTTATGTACTTAGTACAGGGTCTACAGGGTCTCACTACACAGATCAGAGTCACAGTGACCCTCCTGTTTTCAGCCTCCTAGGCGCGGGGATTGCAGGCGTGCGCCCCCACACCCAGTCTCAAGCAACATTACAGCGTGCCCCGGGGGCGGGGCCAGCACGGCACACTGGGGATCAAACCAGTGAGCTCTTTGGCTGGCCCAAAGCAGTAACTTAAAAATAGGTTCAGATAGTACAGTCAAGTCACTCACTTTGTGGGCAGCTATTTTCTGAAATTTAAAGTTAGTATATAATTTTGTACCAAATTAAGGTACCTTCTAATGCTGTCAAATAGTGACAGGAAGCACCAAAATACCTAAGGATTTATTTTTTAATTAGAAATCCCTATCAATCTAATGTTTTACCCAATTTAGAAAAGCTTGTTAGATGTGAGAGGTGCACTGCTAATGTCGCGTGCAAATATAATTTAAGAACTCTAGGCCCCAAGTGACGAGCAGCGTCTCTAGCATCTCGGTGGTCACACCTTCCTACACGTGAGAGCAAAGTCAGTTTCCATCCCGGGCACAGAGACACTGGCCACCCAGTTTCACTTACCGTCTGCAAGGTTCCACTTCAGTTGTGTTGAGATTGAACGTTTTTTTGAAGTTGTACAAACTCACAACGTTTTCATTGAGGTCGTCTAATTCAATACAACCTTTGTAGGGAGGGAATTTTAGCCTGCTCGGAAGCTAAAAGTGAAACAATACCAAAAATTGCCCATTCATCAAGCAGAAAACAGTGATCACATTAACAAAAAAAAAAAATAAGTTTTATCACTTTGAACAATCAATATTGCACACACAGTAAGAATGTAGACCCTGTAGTGGCATGCCCTGGCTTTGCCATTTAGTTTCTAAATAACCCTGCACAAGTTATTAAACATTTCTGCCTTAGTTTCTTCATCTGTAAAATGGGAACAATGACAATATTTACATGAGTTTAAAACAGTGTACCAAGGAAGTATTCAGTAAATGTTAGCTATCATCATTACATGTTAACTCTATTTTATACATAATTAATGAAAAGATACATCGGTCATTATGCCAAATTAAAATGTAAAGTTTCTCTCAGTGAGATAACAGTTATACTCACTTGAAAATCAGGTGGGTAACCTCCGACATAAAACACAACATTTTCAGGATCCAAGTTAAGAAGTGTGTTGCTACTTCCACTATCCATGACATGAAATTGGGGTGCTTTGGGTCTAATAGAGGTGGCTTCTTTGGTGTAATTCAGTCTTGCAAACTGATAAATTCTGTTTAAATTTTGATAATAAGGTTACAAGGAAATTAATGAATCAAACACTAAGATGCTCACAGCAGGATTCTGGGACACATACAAATGGGGGAGTCGGATGAGTACAGTGAGGTCTACAAAGGTCAGGAGTTAACCACCGTTGTACCTCTGAAACTTCACCCGGTCCATAACTGCCTCTCGCGTCTCACTCTCAGTCAAGATCTGGTCCACCTGGAGCTCAGCCACCCGCTCGCCCAGGTTGTAGACGCAGGTGAGCTGGCCGTCCACAACTGCCATGCCGATGTAGTCGCTGGAGGCCTGGAGACACAGGGCCACCTCAGAAGCTTCCCACACACTTCTTCCTGTGCTCGGTTAGCTTCCCACTCCAAGAAGGTCACAAGAGTTGTATGGCATAAACTAATGGCTTTACACTATAAATCTTGGGTAGAGACTAAATAAGACACACCCTCACACCCTAATGTAGCATGCATAATTAATCATGCCTGGGTGTCTTTGCTTGTGTTACTGTGTGCTCATGTAATCATTCCTCCATTTGCCCAGTTTTTAGACATTTGCTGAACACCCACCATAAACATGGACCAGATATCAACCCAGCTGCCCATTGATTTCATCTGATAAAAACAAGCCAATTTTGTTCTCCCAGCACCAGGAAATGTGCTCTGTGCATGACCCTGCCATGACAACCCTACATGGTCTCTGTCAGCTCTGTAGGCATCTTCCTTCCTTATTAGAATGTGAGAACCTTAAAAATGAAGTAGATTTTTTAAAGTGGTGGTGAAATATTCATAGTACAGTAGTCACCAACTTAACCCTTCTTAAGCTGTCCACAGGCACCCTATACACACATGAAATACATTTGGTGAGCACAATTACAGGTGTAGCAGGCACACTGTAAGAAAAGTTATTCCTCTACATCCCAGGGAATGGCTTTGAGGACCCTTAAGATGCTGAAAGCTACAGATGCTCAAAGCCTTTCACACAATGGCACAGTATTTGCATTTAACCTATGCACATCCTCTCATGGAATTTAAATTTTTCTACTTTGCCTAGGTCAAAGTAAATGTTATAGAAATAGTTGGTACACTGTGTTGTTTAGAGAATACTGGCAAAAGAAAAGTGTGTGTTCATTATAGAAGCATCTTTTTCCTGAATATTTTTGAACTATTGTTTGAATCCATGCTGTGGAATCTGTGGATACAGAAGGTGGAGTATATGTGGTATAAATTATTAAATGTATCAACACTGTGTATTTTGTCATAACACAAAGCAAAAGGGCACTTACTAAAGAACTTAGCAATAATGTATCAACACCCTGAAGCATGAAAAGGCAGCTAATAATAGTGCTGACAAACTGTAAATACCATGTCCATTAGTAAAACTAACAACTTCCCAATCAGGTAGAATTTTCAAGAACCATATTTCAGACATTTCTTTTCCAACAGTTGTAGTCTAACCCAATCAGAGATTAGCTTTCGCTCTGACCCTTAAATTGAGAGAAATGTATGTCTCAAAAGTATACCCACAATTCTTTGTTGTTTGGGTGGTGCTGGGATGGAACCAGACCCTCCCACGCACCAAGTGCTGCCCCCACTGACCACACCCCGAGTCCTGCAGCTCTTATTGGCAGAGGAGGCTACATTTTGCTCCCATGCATGTCTATAGATTGGCCCTGGCCCACAGACTTGAGGGAGGAGCCCGTGGTTGGGCTTGCTGAGAAACAACATGATCAGGATTCTGTGAGGAGGAGCTGCTGTTGATGTCCAGGAAGCCTTGACTTTGATGTCCTGGCAACATGGGCAGAGGGTGCTGATCCTGCACCTCCAGTGTATGTGTGTACGCCCAGAACCCATGGGGAAGCAGATTCCTTGGCACCTAATAATCCCTGTTGGATGCGAGGTCTATCATGGGTACTTCCTCCATGGGAGCGTGAGTGGGAAAGTGAGGGGAAAGGGCTTGTATTTGTGATGTCTTGTCAGGATTTCCAATGGTGAGTTCATGGCAGTGACACAGCTGTGCCACAGGTCTCAACACAGTGACACACAGCGCCGGGCATCTCAACACCACCAAGAGCATTCTGTCATAGAAACGAGAGGGATATCTAAAAACATACTCACATCCTTGTTTCCAAGGTACATCACAAACATATCCTCAGTGCCCCCATTTTCTCTTGAGTCAGGTCTTTGGAGAAACAAAGAGAGAGAGGTGTATCCTTTCAAATCTTCCAGGTCATTTGGCAGCCGGACTTCAACACCAGATTTCCCATTGAACCGCATGGGGACCGCAACCTGTGAGGAATGACAAGGTGTCAAACATGGGCTGAGAAGAAGGCATGTGCTCGGGAACATCATCTGTGACATCACAGCTGTACCCCTTAGTTACATATCAGCCTTCCCAGGCTGCTCTGATGAGTAGGGGGATGAATGTCGCCTACACCTGGATTATAAACTGTGACGCAGTCTGAGGACCCCAGTGTTCGTGTTCCCCCTGTTGATTAGCCCTGGATCTCTGAAAAGTGCATCCAGCTCTCCACCTGCAGTACTGACAACAGTAGTTCCAACCCTAGATGGATTTTGTGTAGAGAAGTTACAGAAGCACTCTGCACAGTACCTGCATATAGCACACGTATCAGACAGCATAAGCATTTCCTAAATGTACATCTTAAGGCAGTGATTTCCATGAATTTGTTACACGTTATGATTGTACACAATACTGGCATTCTGTCCTTAAGAGTCCCTAAGTCCTTAAGTCCTTTGAGAGAAGAGTGCTTGGAACACTGCTTCTTAGAGTCCCTGTGGTGACAGCCCTTCTTCACCCCTTTAGGCTGACATGGACCGATACTTTCATAAAATTCATTACAAATTAAATTATTAGGAAAATGAAATGAACATAGACCCACTGTCCACACGCTTGAATGTTGAGACATTTCCTTTATTAGAAGCTTCTGAGCACTTCTTGGCACTTTACTTAGATTTAAAGAACTGGCAACAAGTTGTCAGGCTGGCGCCAGTTTCTGGACTCTGATCAGGTAGCTCTGGTCATAAATATCCTCAAGCGCTCACAGGACAGTCACTCTGGAAGGACACTCCACCAAGTCCACATTTTAGCAAGGATCTTGGATACATAAGGCACCCATCAGGGAGCCCAGCAATGCTGAGGGTCCTAAGTCACACTAATGAGCTCATTTTAGCTCTCTTTGGTGGCCACTTTTTCCCTTGAGGGGACCCAGCCACATCTCAGTCTTCCTGCCATGCTTTTCTGCTTTTTGTCACTGGAAAACTCTGCCTAATTCTTTTCATTTTTTAAAATTAAGTAGATATTTCACTCTAGAAAACAAGCATGTATAGAAGAAAAACACAGACTTTATCTCTGCATTACCAAGTAAGAAATGAACTACACCCGATGGAGTCATCCCTACTCCCCTTTCTGTCTTCTCAGAGGTCACCACAATTCTGGATTTGGATTCTCATGCAAATTTCCATGCAGGTTTTAATATTTTAGTAAGTATGCACTGATCTAGATACAAGATACAGCTACTTTTATTTGCATGCCTTAAATATTTTAATGTGAATAGTGTCTGTCTGGACACACCCTTCCAGAATTTGCTTTCTTAGCTGAGCACTGTGTTTTAAAATCACATTGACGATGCCTTCAGCTCCTTCATGAACACTTGGTTTTTTCTTCTCAAACAATTGCTAGTGTGTGATTGTGAGCTGTTTCCCAATGAACATCGTTATATACACCTATGAGTACTGCTCATTAGTGCTGTTCTGAGCCTCTCCGGGTAGCATCGTGTACTTCTAAGATGCACATCATGAGTTTCTACCCAGCTTCTTGATATGGCCTGAGAAACCACTTGCAGTGCCTGGTGAGCAACCTGCATTCAGGTCTGGCCTTGGAAATGCCTGGGTCCTCACCCCCAAGGGAGCACCAGTGCACATGGTCCATAGATCCCTCGCTGGAGCTTGCAGCAAGAGTTTAGAAAGTGGGGCCCTCCTCCTGCCTACATAAACTCAATGGAAGGAAATAGCTTCAGGTCCCTGATAGGCTGGAAAATTCATGGGTTGAAAGTCGTGTGCACTTCCAAAGAGCAACAGAAGAAATCAACTTTCATATTTCAAACCACCAAAGAATCAGGACAATAAAAAGGACCAGTTTTGAATGAATGGGGGAAGAACTAGCCTTGGCTATGACAATGTGGGGTAACACTCACCTTATTTGCAGCATCTCTGGCCTGCTGAATTAGCTCCCGAATTCGATCCACGTTGTCAGAGATGTTTCCCAGGGGCAACAGTTGTTGGTTGATACTTTCAATCTTGCTCAAAAGGTCAGGCAGTTTCTTAGTTAATTTCTTTACTGGTGGTGAGATAAGACAACAGAAGCCTAAAATTGTTCACTGAAAGAAGGTTAAATGCAGAAGTTTTTCCTGACAGTGTCTGTTTAATGGCGTGTTTGAGCTACAAATGTTGAAAAGATAGATTTGAATCAGACAACTCTCTCTCTCTCTCTACGTACATTAAGGATTCATTCTACAATGTAGATACCAGATCCTTTTTCTTAACTACTATAGGGGAAAAAGCCTGTTTTGGGGTCCTTATTACCACTCGTGATTCAGGACCTTAGCACTCTATAAAAGAGAAAGCCAATATTACTATCAATGGTTGAAAATTAATATACCTCACCTGGTCTTTCTATTATCTATATTTTTTGCATGCACGTTATGAAACTGCTGGTGGTTTTATATCTGAGATCAGACTTACTAGAGAATGGAAATAAGCCAAGGCCATAGCAATGAGGAAGTGGCTAATCCACCCCGACCAAAGCATGCCCGATACCTGACTTGTCTGCGTCGGTCAGAGCCTTGTTGAAGTCTTCCTTCTGCGCATTCCCATAGTCATCCTTAATCTTTTCCAAATCTGCCTGAATGGGGCTGAGTCCATCCAGAACCTCACTTGTGACGTCATTGGCCTTTCTGACCATGCTCTTAACACCACTGATTGTACTGTCAGTGTCGCCTAAGGCACACACAAATGAAGAGGGCTAAGGATCTGAAATGTCAACAGAAGAGGCCAAACACATTGGTCCAGGGAGATGCTGACCTCTCTGTATCCCACGAAGATCATCATGGACAGAAGTGAGGTTGGTGTCTATCAGATCTTTCTGAACCTTCACAATATTCAAGGTTTGTTGTAGGTCATCGAGAGCAGGACTAATTTCTACAAGAAAATAAACACAAGGAGGCAATGACTATGGATTTTGGTTATCCATTGCTGTCTGTGGCCCTACAGGTGACCATATCTACCCAGCACTGAGCAGATCTGGGTCTTGGGGCTCCTTCCACAAGGCCTGGACTTACAGTTCTGAACACTCTGGTCAAAGAGGCCAGAAGCACAACAGGACCTGATGGTGACGACCTCCTAGGAAATGCATACAAGAAAGGGGCAGGCTGAACAACTCCAGGCTGCAGAAGGCTGTGCTTAGTGAAGGGCATGTCTGTCCTATTTACTGCTGTGCCCTCTGCAGTGTGACGTCTGGCACCAGTCAGACTTACTATTAGTACCTATTTGTTGAATGAATGAATATATGAAAGAAGGCATGAATAGTATAAAAAGAACTCCTCTTAGAGAACAAGAAAGAAAGGTGTTTTCAAGACAGCCTGATCCAAAGGACGCGAAGTAGACACTGTTTCTGGTCACTTCCAAACCGGGAGGCAAGGCACTAGCAGACATTCCTAGTTACCAATGTGGCCATCTCTGGGCTATGGAAGATGATCAGCAATTGGTACAAATAATTTACATTAGGGCCCCATGGCTGTTTTATCCACCACCATTGATAGCCCTGATCCTGGGCTGTGGGTGTGGGTCCTGGGTAGGGTGAACTCTCAGCACATGCAGGCCCTGGCTTTGATCTCCAGCACTTCAGAAAACAAACAAAATACCTCTAGAACCTTACCTCTAAGCTCAAGTTTTAAAGAAGCAACAGATATCATACTGCTAAACCATAATTCTTAAAAGTTTCAGGGTGATAATTGTGTATTAGCACATATTTTATTTTTCATGTGTTTAGTTCTTAAAAATGTCACTAAGTCAATTTACAAAGACATCATCTAAACCCTCTAAAAGAACTGAGAAACTGAAAGAGGACCAGAGGCTCGGCTGCCTGCTCAGCCAGGGATGCTCTCGAAAGACCAGAGAAATTCAAGAGACAGAATTTTCAGAACACAGGAACTTGGTAAGTTTAGGACAATTTATTTCGTTCTATAACTAATTAATTAATTAATTAAAGGAAATTTTTCTAAAAATAAAATTTATACTTTAAAACATTTCCACTTTTTCCCCCTGTGGTGCTGCTGGGCCTGCAGGTCCATGTAGGGCTACAGACACGGGTCTGTATTACACAGGATGGGTTTTGTTAAGGTTGTCAAGAATAAGGCCTACTTTAAGAGATACCAAGTGAAGTTTAGAAGATGACAAGAGGGTAAAACTGATTACTGTGCCCTCTTAGTAATACAAGACAAAACTCTTGGTAATACAGGACAAAAGTAAGTACAACACATCTAAATACAGGATGATAGTTCATGTAACTAACAGAGATATCATTTGCCAGGTTGCTTATGCCCGTATCGAAGGGGATATGATAGTCTATGTGGCATATGCACATGAACTACCAAAGTATGGTGTGAAAGTTGGCCTAACAAGTTATGCTGCAGTGTACTTTACTGGCCTGCTGCTGGCGTGCAGTCTTTTCAGTAGGTTTGACATGGATAGATCTATGAAGGCTGGGGGAGGTGACTGGAGATGAATACAACTTGGAAAGCAATGATGGCAAACCTGGTGCCTTCACCTGCTATCTGGATGCAGGCCTCGCCAGAACTACAAGTGGCAATGAAGTTTTTGGAGCCCTATAGGGTGCTGTGGATGGAGGCTTGTCTATCCCTCACAGTACCAAACGATTCCCTGGTTATGATTCTGAAAGCAAAGAGTTTAATGTAGAAGTACATTGGAAGCACATCATGGGTCAGAATGTCGCAGGCTTTATGCATTACCTAATGGAATAAGATGAAGATGCTTACAAGAAACAGTTCTTTCAGTATATAAAGAACATTGTAACTCCAGACATGATGGAGGAGATGTATAGGAAAGCTCATGCTGCTATACGAGGGAATCACTTTATGAAAAGAAGCTGAAAAGTTAAAAAGAAGAGGTGGAAGCGTCCCAAAATGTCCCTTGCCCAGAAGAAAGATTGGGTAGCTCAAAAGAAGGCAAGCTTCCTCAGAGCTCAGGAGCGGGCTGCTGAGAGTCCATGGCTCACAGTGGTAAGGAGTTATGTATGATGCTTTTAGTTGCCAAGATTTTAGGATATAAGAAATTTGGAAGCAGAAATTCTGAAGCAGTCTAATACCTGTAGTGAACAATCTTGATATGTTGGTTCTTGGTGCCACGGTCACAGGAAAGTCAATCCGAAGAGTCTCCCCAGAGTCAGGCCAGAAAACTTTGCTTATAGCACACTAGTCATTTATAATTTTGGGTGGACCCATGACATTGTGTAAAATAAATCATGCATTCAAGAAGGTTCTCTCAACCTTGACACTGACATTTAGAAAAAAAATTTGCTTCCTGTGCTGGTCTTCCTGGTCTCACAGGTCCTGTAAGCACCTGCTTATCCCTGACACACACACACACACACACACACACACACACACACATCCATACCTTGCTGTAACTTCTTCTGTATTCGTTTAGCTTCATTTAACACTTTATCGCTGTCAGAACTCAGGATCTTAGCTTTTCTTGGAAGATCTTCCTTTATTACGGTCTGAAAGCAAAGTGTTTATCAGCCTCCACCATATGCTACCCGTTAAGAAGTACAGGATATGATTTTTCACTCTACAAATCCCTTTTGGACAAATGTTAATGTTTACTATCAGTATAAAAGCATACCTAGTAGAAGCAGGAAAAAGCATTAGTTTAGGGTCAAAATCAGTAACCAGTATTAATTGCTTTCTAGCTTTATATATAGGTTTTCAACCTCATATGTCAAATAGTCCAGTAAGCACAGAAAAGACTTGTCTCTAGAGCAAACTCAAGTCTATTCTATATAACTAACTTCTGATTTAAAATAAATGCATTTTGGGGACATTTCTCCAGGCACAGAGCAAGAGAATAAGAAAAAGAGTTGCTTTCAGAGTGAATCTAGAAAAGCTACTGGCACTGGTGCCCACCTCAAGGGCGGACTCGGATGCGCTGGAGGCTTTGTTGGCTGCATCCTCAGCTGCTTGGATGGCACTGAGGATGTTCTCATAGGCAGTGGCAGCATCCACAGCACGGCGTACCAGCTCATCCGCACTGGCATTTCTTTTTATCCTGGAAGATGGTAAGGGGGTGCAAAGAGTTAGGTTCTCCAGTGTCTTCCTGCCCTAGGCTGCCATCCTGCCAGTGGGCACCAGAGGTGGCAGTCTCTGCTGAGCTGTCCCTAGAGTGTGGCTAGATATCCTCCTCCCCCTTGCAGGTCTGGTTCTGTCCTGGGATCTTGCCTGGGGACCCTGGGTGGGGTTTCAGTTGGGCAAGACTGTCCACCCTGTTCTGGATGCCCAGATACCCTAACAGAGGCCCTCACTTGGTGTTCAAGCAGCCCGTGGCATCTGGATCTCCACAAGCCTCACACTTACTCCTCCAGCTGCTTTGCCACCTCTTGCAAAGACTGTGCGTATTTTTCTGCATCTGCCACCAGGGATGCTTGGCTGGAAGATCTGGAGAGTTCTCTCACTCTGTCACTTAGTTCTTGTCTTGCTTTATTTAAGGTGCCTGCTAATGTTTCATATTCCTATTTTTTCCAAGTAAACAAAGGCAATATAAATTCAAGCAAAGAGTGCATGTACCATTTTCTCAAACTCTGCCATTAAGTGATGTTTCCAGTGAGAAGTCATATACTCTCAGCCCAGTTAGTACACTATGAATCCTTGATTAGTGCTCATAATTGCACTGATTATATTGCACATTTTTCTGCCAGCAGATACTCTCTTCAGCAAGTTTTATAAATGCTTAATAACTTTAGTAAGTTTTATAAAAGTTACAGTGTTATCAAAATAAAGTTCTACTAAACCAAGAGAGTTTTTATGATCTAGAACTAGCTCCTATAGAACATACTTTCAAAAATGTCCATTGGGTTACTAGGAAATTTTGCCAATCTTTTATCAAGTCTTAAATGTTTTCTGTTAATAAAGGTAGTTGAGGTTTTGAAAATAAGCACTGCAATTTTTAAAATTCAAGATTCGACTTGCTCACTGCAGACAAATCGGGTAACGCAGCTAGAGTAAGAGCAGATACATCTTTCACACCCTGCCCTCAGGCAAAACCAATGTGAACATGTCTAGATTTTTGCTTCCACCAAAAAGACTCAAAGAAAGAAACAGGCAATTCAATTACACATACTCTTGGAAACATGATTTAAATGATTCTAGATTCTAGGCAATATGGGACTCTACCTTCCAGTTTTTGTTCATCAGCTCCAGCATGGAATTGGTCCGTATCACAGCCAAGTCTGCCATGCTCAGGTACTTGGTGAATTCACTCTGTAGGCCACTCATTTCTTTCACTTGCCTCTGGAGAGAATAAAATGGACATTGGCCTAAACTCCGTGACACATTAGCAGAGGGTAAAGACATAGCTCCAGAATAATAGCATGTAACTAATCAAACTCAGCATGTTTTTATGAACCTGAAGGCGGTCCAGCCACCTACAAAGTGATGGGTCTGTGTTTCTCTTGACAGTGTTGGTGGCTGCCATGGCTTCCTCTATTGTATGCTAAGAAAACAGTCAATACTTCCATTGAAGGTTGTTATACAAGTTCAAGTCAACTGATGACATATGACTAAGTTCTAGATCAGCTTAACCCATGGACAACAGGACTAAGGCCCAGTTTGGGGAAAAGAATGAGAAACTTTGACTAAACAAACCAGGACCAACCATTATTCCACAAGTCAATTCCAATAAGAGGTACTGGGCACTTGAATGAGAGATGAAACAGGACAGAGCATGCCAGGCTAGAGGACTGCCAAAGGCCAAACCTATGCAACTGCAGCCTACTCTCTTTGCAGGTATCATTCAAATAGAAGTCTTATTCAAAAAATAGTATTCAAGCAGCGATATTACCATGGAAGGAGGATTTGGGAGCCAGATACATAAGGACCCCCTAAGATATCACCAATTGTTATTTACCAGGTTCTTTCTCTTTTAAGAATTTGTCCTACATTACTTGATTCTGATCATGCTTTTTTTTTTCTTTCTTGTATCAGGGATCAAACTTGGGACCTTGCATTTGCCAGGTAGGTGCTTATGCTGCTGAGCTATCAGCCCAGGCCTGCCATTTTTTAATCCCTCATGTTTCTGTGGTTATTTCAGTACATGATGGTCACTATCAAAAATACAAATTATGAAATCTTGAGCACTAAATTAACTCAAATGTGACTCATGTCTTATCCACTTGCAGCACTGTTCCTCCAACACTCTCTTAGCCAGGGGTAAGTTGAGGCAGCTCAGGAGGCTAAGTGGGTTCAGTTCAGAATCTTTTCTGGTAGCTGAGGAGTGGAAATAGTTCTGGCTCCGTGGTTAAGTTTCAGCCCTGTTGGGTCAGGTACTGGGTTAGCATAACCAGTGGGCCATGCTATTTTATTCATAGCAAAGATCCCTGTTCCCCTCATCCTTACTTCAGCGACAGCATGTGGCTCCCAACTGCAAGCTCACCTTGATGGTTCCCAAAGCTCTCTCATTTTCGTGGTTGAGGCCAGAAGCCCGCTTTGCCTGGGAAGCTGCCTCCTGGATCATGGCATGCAGGTCATGGAGCTTGGCCTCGTACTGATTTAAAGAATCCCGTATACTCTTAGCAAGTCCGTCGCTCTCCACCGTGTGGGTCTCTAGCCAGCTCTTTATACGGTTCAGCACTGGAATGCAACACTTCATGTTTTCCACTGAGCAGATGCTAGGTTTTATATAAAAACTAAAGAAGGAGAATCAAATTCCTGCTCATTTTCCAAGTTTCCTTGAGCTTGGGAGGGAATAGGAATGGACGCTAATATTCATGTGACCTGTGACATTGGTACTTCAGGTCATGACCTTAGTTCTTTCCACAATCCTGGTCACAAACCAAATTAGGTGAGAAATGAATCAAATCGAATGGTTAGGTTCATGGGTTCGCTTACTATACACGATCACCAGGGAACACAATAACTATCATTTTCATGCTACTGATAAGGAAATGGAGAGCTGAGAAATTAGGGGTCAACCCAAGGACACAGCCACTCAATGTGGCCTTGAACCAGAGCTGTGGGGTACAAGGTGCATGCTCCTTCAACTGCCAAGACTGCCTCCTTAGTTAAAAGCCAAGACTAATATTACATTTAAACACCACAAATGCTACAAGAAAGCAGATACTATCTGCAGATTATCCCCAGACATATTATTTTACTAGAGAACAAACAAGAATTTGAAAAAAATACGAACCTTTCTTAGTTTTGAGGCAGTGAAAACCTTTAGCTCTATCAAATAGAACATCCAATTTTTTTTTGTTTTTATCATTATAGAACTAATATGAATTTGTGATTCAAGAATCAAATAGTGGTGAGGAGAACATGAAAAGTGATACAATAAGAAATGTGGAAAGAAATGAAGAAGGGGCAGAAGAATGAAAATGTAATTTAAAGGGGAAAAGGTATCAATAGCTCTAAGTTTTAGGAGAACTTCCTTTGGGGGGATGATTGCCATTTTTTCTTGTTTGTTTGTTTTTTGTTTTTGTAAGATGGTGGGATATTATATTCTACAGTCCTGGTAACTTGGAAAAAAGACATGCAGTCCCAGGAGGAGTGGGCCTGTTCCACCACCTGACCCTGTAATAACATTCTCAGAAGTGAGACGCCCTTCCACCCACACCCAGGGGCCCCGTACAGAACTCTGCACACTGCTTGTCCAGGCAGTTCCCACAGGCTGGATGCCCCTGGGGCCGGGCCCTTACAGAGCTGCGCTTCTCTCTTCTCAGCTTCTGCTTCCTGCAGGTACTTCCCAAAGTTACGGTTCCGCAGCTCCCTCAGCTTGCGTTCTGCTTCGGCCAGCTCCCTGGAAAAGTCACCTGAGGGCAAGTTGTTTCCTCCTCCACCTGTGCCTGAGATCTGCCTCAAGAGAACTGGAAAACATTGTGCAGTTTATTAAACTGGGAATTCTGGTCTCCTGCAAACCATTTTTTAAGGCAGAAACTTTATTGGAGGCTGCCTATTGGGGGTTTTACTATCACTATAGGATCTTTTTCATCACAATGAACTCTCAAAAGGGAATTCTTTCGGTGTGTAACCAAGGCCTGGGTCATTTTTCTTACTGTGCACATTGTGGATGACAGTTTTAATCTTCATGTCAAGCTCTTTAGTGCTCTGAATTGTCCGGTCAACATTGTTATATAATGTTTGTGCTTTTTGGGAATTTATCTGCACCTGTTCAAAAAAATAAATCAATTAACAACAGATTAAGTTGATGGGAAAAAACTAAAAATATTCTGAAACAAAATATTTTTATATTTATTTAACTTAACCACTCTACCTTTTCTTGCAAAGTTTCAAACTCATGATTCAAATTACTCAGTTCTTCTTCCAGACCGTTCATTTTTGATCCATGATTTGAAATAGCAGAATGATAGAGGAGCAACTGATTCTGAAAGGAAAACACAAAGCTAGCCTCATTTTGGAGTAGAGATTTAGACTAGTCTCATCAACCTGGTAAACGTGATAGTGCTGAAAAGACTCATTTAACAAGAGTAATGTCAGTCCTAAGGGTGGAAAACATAGTTCTTTGAGATAGATCCCATGAAGAACCTACTTCCTGATAGATATTGGGAAGTAAGTAGCCATGCTAGTTAGCTTTCTGTCAGTTTACGAAGACCCAAGATAACTAACATAAAAAGTTGACTTTAGCTCACAATTTTAGAGGTTGTAGCCCAGGACTGGTTGGTCCCGTTGCCTGAACCTGCTATGAGGGTGCATCTCATGCCGGAAGTACATGGTTGAGAAAAGTTGCTTACCTCATAGTGAGCCACAGAGCAGAGGAAAGGAAATAAAGACTGAAGTCCCATAATCCTCTGGGAGGTCACTCCCCACCTTCCTAAAGACCTCCCACTAGGCCTCGCCTCTTCGAGTGTTTACCACCTCCCAGTAGCACAATTTTGCGGAACAAGCCTTTGACACATGACGGGCCTTGGGGGGTCACTTAAGGTCACTTACTGTCCAGCAGTAGCACATATAAAAATATGAAAGCAGATACTTTAAATTAATGACCTAGCCTTATAGAAACAAGGTGATACTATTTATCTGATGTTTTGATCTTCAGATTTTGTGCTAATATTTAGTTTTCAAAACTCCATAGTTAATCACTTACCAGTACAATTTTTTAAATATAGGATGACCAAAACTTGCAAATTTTTTCATTAATTTTTATAGGATAATAGAATGAGAAATATAAAAAGAACAATTTTAAGATAATGTAATCGGAAATATAAAAAGAACAATTTTTATCAAATCTATTAATTTCTTGTGGATGGTGTATCTTTTTTTTTTTTTTTTTTTTTTTTGCGGAACCGGGGATTGAACTCAGGCCCTTGCGCTTGCCAGGGAAGCGCTTATTCTACTGAGCCATCTCCCCGGCCCCAAGGATGGTGTATCTTGAAACATTCCATACACAGCACATTACAATCTGGACAATGATATCTATTCTCTTTCCAAATTCTTTTCTCATTACTGTCTTTTTTGAACAACACATTCCACACTGTTGTGTTGGCCTTTCTTTTTCTTCTGTGGGTGGTATGCTTTCAATCACATATCTGCTGGCTAAATGAAATGGTGAAGACACTGAGGATGGGCAGCCTGCTTGTGTTGCACTACCCTGTATCTTCTCATTATTTCATCTATGAGGCTCAATCTAAATTGTAAATGACAGGCCAGTGAGATTGCTCAGCGGACTAAAGTGCCTGCTTGAGCAAGTTTAGGCAAGCTCAGGGACCGTGATTTGACCCCCGCACCACATGCTGTGCCAGACCTGCCCCCAGGGCAGGCTGAGCCAGCCAGCGTCCAGGCATAGTGGTGCTTGCCTATAATCCCAGTGCTGGGAAGGCTGCGAGCAGGAGGACCACCACCAGTCCAAGCTGTGTAGTGAGACCCTGCAACAACCAAATACATAAAAAAATAAAATAAAATAAAAATTGTAAATGACCTTTTGAATTCCTTTTTTAAAAATAAGTAACAAACAAGTTTCATATTCCTTGGTAAGAAGGTGCATAAATAGTTCTAGCAATATTTTCCTCATTTTTTGATTACAGGATAGCTTGTTGGATATTTTTCAACTATATCAACATCATCCAAAGAATTGTTATAGCTATTGATCATAATTGTTATAACTACTGGGGTTTTTGTAGTTTTATGCATTCTTCCAAGTTCTACAGTTTCCGGGCTATGAAGAACTGATGCTGGGAGCCATCTCTTTCACCTTTCCATGTCGTCACAGGCTTCCTCTGTGACCCACTGGCATTTCTCCCTTCTCCAGTTTTTCCTTTTGCAGATCTTCTGCTGCTTCCTTCCTATTCAGGCTCCGTGTCCCACACATGTGCATTTTGTATTGTAAAAGCATATCACAGAGTTCAAGAGAGGTATATAAATTTTATCTAATGTACTTTTTTTCTTTTTTTGTATTTTAGTACAGGGTCTACAGGGTTTCACTACACAGCTCAGACTCGTAGGGATCCTCCTGTGTTCGGCCTCCCAAGAGCTGCACCACCACGCCCAGTCTCAACTGCATCTCAGTGTGCCCCGGGGGCGGGGCTGGCATAGCACACCAGGGATTGAACCCCAGCTGCTGCATCTGCTTAAGCAGGCGCTTTAATCTGCCGAGCTATTTGGCCAGCCTGTCTCATGTACTTATGATAAGAGTTTTTATAGCTTGTAGCACAATATTACAGGTTATTCTTCACAAACACGAATTAGTAAAAGAAAATAACAAGAACTTACTATTAGATTTAACTAGAAACAAACATTGAAAGTGAATGTAATGTTCTGAATTAAAAATATACAAAAATAGTTGATATAAAACAAATAAAGAGGGCCAGTGAGATAGCTCAGTAGAATAAGTGCTTGCCTGGCAAGCACAAGGGCCTGAGTTCAATCCCCAGTTCTGAAAACAGAAAAACAAACAGATGCACAAGTATATCTTGTGGAAATAAGAATCAACCTGTTGGAGGATGCTGGAAATAGTCAGTATGTAAGCAAACATGCTTCTTGAGTGACACTGCAGTAAACTATTAAGTGGTGTATCTGCTAACACTAAAAGCAATACATATGATGAGTTTATTGAATGAACCATTAGATTCAAAGACTCCAATTTAAGAGAACTGCTAGAGAACTGAGAGTTCACATTAGTAATGCGAAAATGGAAGTTTACAGAAGTTGAGTGACTCATCCATGTCTACATGGCTTATTAGCGATTGCTTGAAGGTACAACCCACGTCCTTGGTCTTTCTTAGCACTAAACTGCCTTAATACTTTTGAAGGACGACACTGCTGCACATAATGCATAACTTATGAGTACTGTGGCTCCCAGATTAGTGATTACTTTCAAATTTTAAAAATGTAAAAACTTGGGCTGGGGAGATAGCTCAACAACGTAACTGCCTATGTGGCAAGCGCAAGGTCCTGAGTTCAATCCCCAGCACCACATGTCAGGCCACCCTGGAACCTCAGGCACACCTTGCTGGCCCTGCAACTGATGTGGTGGCACACACCTGTAGTCCCAGTGCTAGGAGGCTGTGACAGGAGGATCATTATGATTTTGAATTGCAGAGTAAGGCCCTGTATCAAATAAATTAATAAAAAAAATAAAGAAATTTTTATTTAAAAAGTAAAAGCTTAAAAAAATGACAAGAAGAAATGACTCTTGCCTCTATCTGTACCTCAGAGCCAGAGTTCAATAAGAGAACACATGCTTTAGTGCATAGGTCTAAAGCCTGGGTCTACTCCTTAGCATGTGAGCGGCATCAAGCCTCACCCTCTCTGCATCAGCAAGTGTGAATTATCATGTTAACTTGCAGGTGATACTTCCATTAAATTGTCACACAGTGTATTAATATAGAAAGAAAATGTTTCTGTTTTAATTATTTAATGGGAATCTGGGGCACGCTACTCCACAGATAGTTGCAGAACACCTGGATAAGAAGCATAACTAGGTAAAGTGTGGTCTTTCAACTTTCGTCCTGATTTGAATTCTTTTGGAGCCGCTGGTTCTAGCTGTGCGACTTTAGGCAGCGTCTCCCTGCCTGTTAAATGAAAAGATCATGCTCATCCCGAAGGAGATGCTTGAGCTAAACCCTTGACACAGCACAGCACGTAGTAAGTGTGCAGAAAACAGAAGACAAGGCTGCGGCCCCGCAGAGAGCAAGGTGAACTCGCCTGGCCTCCTTACTGCTGCCAGCTACCAGGCCTTTCCCATCTGACGGGAAGCCTTGGAACTGTAAACTAAAACTCTTCTGAGGGGATGAAAAGGAGCCACTTGTTTAGAATCAGTTTGGCCATCTATGCTCTGCTACAGCCACTAGAACCAGCCCTTTTTCCAAAAGCACACAGTAAAATTTCCTCAAAGCCTCATTTAATGTGTTTAGTCTTGGGTTTATCCCATTAACTGAATTCTTTCACTTAAATGAACATACATTGTTTATTTCCCTTATTTTCTTTTTTTTCCCCCCAGAGGATTTTATTTTATTTTATGTTTTTTGTGTCTTAGGGAAGGGTCTACAGGGTGTTCAGGGTCTCACTACTAGATTGGACTCATAGTGATTCTCTTGTTTACAGCCTCCCAAACTGCTGGGATTATAGGCAGTTGCCACCATGCCCAGTCTCAATTTCCATCTCAGCATGCCCTGGGGGTGGGGCCAGCATGGCAGGCCAGGGGATTGAACCCTGGCCACTGTGCCTCTTGCAGGCACTTTAATCCAGGGAGCTATTTGGCCAGCCCTATTTCCTTTATTTTCAATTGGATCTGTTCACCTCTATCTTTCTTGTTTGATTTCTAGTGGTCTTTTCCCCTTGGACTTCCCAGTTTCTCAATACTTCTATTAAGTAGTGCTATTTAACTTTCTGATTATCCTATTGTTTTCATCTATCCGAGGTCCATGTAGCTGTCAAGTGTTGCTTCAGTCAGGTGTCTTTCATGTTGTTATCTATCTGGCAAAATGTTGCAAGCTCTTTTGCGGGAGGGTTTCTCCTCTCTCTCCCTGCACTCCTGTCTGGAGATCTTACAGTTATTATGGCCCCCATCGTGGGTCCATGAGTCCAGCCAGGACCAGGTCTTCTATCAGCAACTCAGGACATGCTCACCATGGGGGTGGGAAATTGTTCATTCCAGCACAAACCCATGTTTGAAGATTTTTCCAGGTCCTGACTGGAAGGTTGTGATATCTGTAGCCTTTCTATATTCTCATATAGCCATCTTCCAATAATGAGCATGATGGGGTTAAAAGGATTCTTCTTCTGCCTCCATGGATGGGCAGGGTAGCCCTCTAACTTCCCCCAAAGAACTAGATGAGGCATCATAGGACACCCACCTTAGACATATTTCTCTACCAGTGAAGTTCAAAAAGAGCTCTCACTCTTATGGCCTATATTCTGAATTATGGAACAAACCTCAATACATTTAAAAGAAATGAACTCACATTAGATTCTCCCACCATAACAGTTAAATTAAAAATCAATAACTGAAAATTACTAGGGAAATTCTCCGATTTGTAAATGAAACACTACTCTTGCAGATCACTCACAAGTTAAAGAGCTGTCCCAAGGGAAATTAGAATGAGAATTTAAAAAATATTTCAAATCTACAGGATTCAGCAAAAGAAGCACTGAGGGGAAGAGTTTATAAAATTAAATGCTTATGTTAGTAACAAATGTTTTGGATACATAAACTCAGCTTTCATCCTAAACTAGAAAATGAGCAGCAAATTACACCAAAGCAAGTAGGAGGAAGAAAAAAAATGAGTGAGAACAAAAATCAGTGAGACTGGAAAAGAAAAACAAGGCATCAAGTCAATGAAATAGATCAATAAAGTTGATCAGTGTCTTGCTACAATAATCAACAGAAAGATAAACATACATTATCAATATCAGCACGTAAGAAAGGACAACACGTAAGATTTTGCAGATAGTAAAAAGATAGCAAAAGAGCATTATGAACAATTAGTCAAGAAATTTGATCATTTAGAGGAAGTGGACATACCAGGTGAGAGACGCAGACTTGATAGAGAGCGTTAGGAAGCAACTGTGAGCAGGATCCACTTGCGTACTTGTGAGGCTGTCCAAGGCCGAGGCCCCTTGTCTGGAGTTGGGCAGTGGATTCATAGACAGTGAACTTCTATGAACCACTGGTCCAGGCCAAGGCCTGTAGTGGCCTAGGAAGCTGTGCCACTTCAAAGGGCAAGATAAGGATACAGCTTAGGAGGCCTGGCTCCAACTCCAATGAACTAAAAGGAGACTGCCACAGCCACTCCCATTTCAGGGGCCACACTCCCACAACAAATGGAGATAAGACAGTCTCCTAATTAGCATCCCTTATTACCTGGGGAAGTCTTTGAACTGTTTTCCAAGATTCTGCTGTTTTCTTCAGTACCCCCCTCCTTTGTTTGAAAGCCAAATAAATATGGGCCACCCACAGAAGCTCTTTGTCTTAGACCCCAGAGAATCTTGAATTCTCTTAGAGGGTTTTGAACCTCCTGGAGCCCTAAAATGATACCATTGTCTCATTTATCTAAGCCTTAGCCACCCACCCATTTGGGAGACTGCAGGCCTGATCAGCCTGCAATAATTAAGTCAGAATATTAACCCCATACAGATTACCAAATAGCACCAAGAAAAATAGATACCTGGGTAGTCTCATGCTTATTTCTTAAAAGTTAAAATTGTGGTTAAAAAACTTCTCACAAAGAAATCCCCAGGCTCACTAGGGCAGAACAACTATACTAATTTTATATAAGCCTTTGTTGGGATTATCTAAACGCGAAACACTAAGCTAAAGCCTCTATGAAAATATTTAGCCTGGAAAAACTGAATAATGAAAAAATGTAGGAGCCGGGTAGATGGCTCTGTGGATTAAGTGCTTCCCTGGCAAGCGCAAGGGCCTCAGTTCAATCCCTGGTTCCACAAAAAAAAAAAAAAAAAAAAAAAAAAAAAAAAAAAGCAAGCAAGAAAAAATGTGCACTTTGAAGTGTTAATTTTCTCTGTTCATGAATACTTTCCGCCAGTAAAAATCTAATCATCATTGAGATGAGAGGAACAGGAACCTTGTAAGAGTTCAGGGGAATGAGCCCCTCCTCCTTCCCCAGGTGAGAAGGGCTCATTCACACAGTCCACCCTCCATTAGAGGATTCTGTTATCCCCAGATTCACTGAGGATTGGAAAAAAAATATTGTGTCTGCACTGAATGCCACAGAAATTTTCTTGTCATTATTCCCTAAAGAGTACAGTAACAGGTATTTGTACAGCATTTAGACTGTATTAGACATTATGAGTGAGCTGGAGGCAGCTGGAAGCATCCAGAAGGATGTGCACAGATTATGTGCAAATACCACATGATGTACAAGGGACTTCAGCAGCTGTAGGCTTTGGTTTGGGTGGAGGTTCCTGGAACCAGACGCCCCCCTCCGGGTACCAAGGCCCAGCTGTACTCACTGAGCATCTACTCCCTCCTACCGCAAGGAGGATTTACCCTCAAGTCCTTGGCCTGGGTTTCCATGTGCCGAATCTGTTCCAGGGCAGCTGGGCTGGCGCTCAAGCCCTGCAGTTGAGACTTGACCAGGTGGAGCTCTTCGCCCATGGTGGCCAGGTCATTCAGGAGGGTCATCACACAGCTGTCACAATCTGCAGGGACCACAACCAAAGACAAAAGAGCAGTGGGCAGGAACCGAGGAAGGCGAAGAAAGCACTGCTGCACATCAGTCTGTGTGCTCCCAGGTCCTTGTGGGCAGAAGTCACAGCCCTACTCTGAGAGACGTGAACTCTAACAAAAAGGAACATTTGAAATTCAAATGGTAATCCTAGGCAAATCATTGTTTATTTTGTATGTGGGAAAAGTAATCAATTTGATTATGGAGTACTTGTTACTGCTAGGTATAATGATAAGAGATTTTCCGAACACTTCCCCAACAGCTCTATGAAGTAAGTTTAGTTATGGTGTCCATTCCACGAATGATGAAAGCAGGGCTGGAAAAGTCAGGTGTCTGCTGAAGGTCACACAGCTAGCAGTCTGCAGAGGCTTCATGTGACCCCTTATTCCCTCTCCCACCATTGCATGTCCCACCTGGAGCTCATAAATGAATGCCACATTGGAAGGGGAGGAGGCTTTCTAAACGTACCATCGCATTCTTCTGCAGGAATGCTGTCTTTGGGTTCTTGGTTTATGCAGTCTGAAAACAGGTAGAAACCAAAGAGGACATTGTTATAAAATGTACTGTTCACCTGCTTTTCAAGTTGATTTTCAGCAAAGTGAGTGTGGGGAGATTTTAGTCAAAATACTAATGTGAATATTATCTGACCGTGGCAAGGGAGATCCCTACAAAACCACCAGAGTCTCAAGTGCTTTTAGCTATCATCAGATGGGTTTTTTAAACAATTTATTTTTAAAAAACTAATTGACATCATTTATTCGCCAAACTGTAAGTTACATCTACTTCATCCCCTGGTTTTATTCCCAGTTGTCAAAGCAAAGTGACTATTTTCTAGCTAGAATTGCATACTATGCTTCTTGGAAATTTGTGCTTGGGTTCTTAGGCTGTTATTTTAAACCCATTTCATCAGTTCAGATTAGCAGAGCATGTGCATAGATCTTACCTCCAGTGAGGGGGTCACAGGTACCCAACTGGCCATTGCCGTTACAATTGCATGGTTGGCAGCTACCTCCAAACTTCTGGGGATTCCCAAAATACCCTGGTGCGCACCTATACAAAACAGAGGAAGGGTGACACATGCTCAAATAACTATTGATTCCACTTCATTTTCTCAAGCTCTAGCTCCACGCTTGGGATGTTGCTGCTCTGCAGAAGGGAAGGTGACAGGGACTTGCAAGAGTGCACATTGCTAATGCAGAGACAGTTCCCCCCTGGCACTGGCGAGAGGAGGCAGGCAGGGGGTGTTCCTCTCTTCCGTTCCTGCTCCTAGAACTACCAAGTCCTCAAATACCCGCATCGCTGCATGGCAGATGGCCAAAATATACGCATGAGCAAATGGTTTGATCAATACATAAATCATGAGTGGCTAAATTTTAAGTAAGACTCAGAAGATATCTAGCCCAAATTAAATATTGCTTAACTTAGGGCCAATTTCCTCACAAAATACATTTAAAATAAGATTCATGCATTTCAGCCTTCTGCACAGAGCAGGACTTCTTGGTTCCTAGTATATTATTTCTTGGTGGCATGATTCATATCGGCACTAATTGCTGCAGCACTTCTCATAACGGGCTTACACAAGCGAGAGCAGTGAGAGCTTCTACCTCTGGCCATGCACCATGATTATTCTAGACCAGCAATGGCAAACCTTGTAGATCTTTCAATGATCATGGCAGCTGGCTACAGCACCCTTGCCCTAGGGCCGTGCCCCTGTTAGTGATGAGAGTTCAGTTTCTAACTTACAGGTTTAAAGATCATACATATGTCCTTGGGCCGGCCAAATAGCTCAGCAGACTAAAGTGCCTGCTTAGGCAGAGCCAGCAGCTGGAGTCTGATCCCCAGCATGCCGTGCCAGCCTCATCCCTGGGGTGCATGGAGATGGCAAGTGAGACTGGGTGTGGTGGCACAAACCTGTAATCTAAGCACTTGAGAGGCTGAAAACTGGAGAATCGCTACGAGTCCAATCTATATAGTGAGACCCTGCAGAATCTGTACTAAATTTTTAAAAAAGATCATATGTCCTTGATTCTGTTTTATTAAGAAAAGTGTGGAAAAAAAACCCCCACCTGTTGATGTTTCTGGAACTGGGATTTCAATTACAATATTTCCATTTAGAAAAGTTCCACTCTCTACCTATGGTAACTAAATTCACATTGAATTGTGACATGGTGTCTAACCATGAATGGAATTGATAGAATCACGGAACTATGGTTATTCTTTCCCCACAAAGTAAGCTTTGCACCATAAAACTGTTGGACAAATGTGATGTGCATGACCAATAGATATATGGTGCCAAGAAGCGAAAGACGCGGGCTTGAGGTCAGGAAGACCTGGCTGGATCCCTGCCTCCGCCTCTTGCTACTGGGATATTGAGATTTTGTGCTAATTCTTTGAACTTATTTCTCCATCTGTTCCCTTCATAGAAACATAAGTTCTGGGGCCAGGGAAATGGCTCAGTGGAATGAGCGCTTCCCTGGCAAATGCAGGGGCCTGAGTTCAATCCCTGGTTCTACCAAAAAAAAAAAAAAGAAAAAGAAAAAATATATACAAGTTCCATGCATTCATAGGGGGTTTCTTTTTGCTGTTTTCATACTAATATACCCCTAGCATATGGGGTAGTGTCTTGTACATATTAGAAACTAAGTATTCATTGGGAGGGTGGATGGATGTAGGGATAATTGGGGTACCTGCCTGGCAAGCACAAGGTCCTGAAGTCGATCCCTGGTACCACAGAGAGACAGAGAGAGAGAC